GCTGGGTGCAGTGGCTCAAGCCTGTAATCCCAGCACTTTGGGAGGCTGAGGCGAGAGGATTGCCTGGGACCAGAGGTTTGAAATCAGCCTGGGCAACTTGGTGAGACCTCATCTCTACAATAAATCAAAAAAATTGGGCCTGGTGGCTCGTGCCTGTAGCTCCAGCTACTTGGAAGGCTGAGGCAGAAGGATTACCTGAGCCCAGCGGTCAAGGCTGCAGTGACTGAGCGTGCCACTGTACTCCAGCCTGGGCGACAGAGTGAGACTTCAACTCAAAAAAAAAAAAAAAAAAAACTAGCCATGCTCGGTGGCTCAGCCTGTAATGCCGCGCCTTTGGGAGGCTGAAGTGAGTGGATTGCCTGAGCCCGCGGGTTCGAGACCCGCCTGGGCAGCGAGACCTCATCTCTACAACAAATCAAAAAATCAGCCGGGCGTGGTAGCGCATGTCTGTAATTCCGGCTACTCGAAGGCTGAGGTGGAAGGATCACCGGAGCCCAGCAGGTCGAGGCTGCGGTAGCCGGGAGCGGCCACTGCACTCCAGTCTGGGTGACAGTGACTCAAAAAAAAAAAAGAAAAAGAAATTACTCAGTCTCGCGTATTCTTGTATAGCGATGTAAAATAGACTAGAGACAAAACTGTTCAGTAAATTAAATTTGTAATTATGAAACTCCCTGAAAAGAAATCTCCAGGTTCAGATGCTGTTACTGGAGAATTCTGCCAAACTTTTAAGGAAGACTTCAAATCACTTCTGCATAATCTCTGCCAGAAAGTAGAAGAGGAGGAAACATTTTCCAATTTATTTTAAGAAATAAGTTCTACTCTGCTATCAAAACCAAAGACACTACAGAAAAGAAAACTCAGACCAATATCCTTCATGGAATAAACCCTTTAACAAAAAATCAGAATTTTCCAGTATATTAAAATAATTATACACCCTGACCAAGTGAAGTTTATTTCAAGTTTGCAAAGATGGTTTACTATGTGAATATCAATCACTGCAATCTACTGTATTAATAGGCTAAAAAAGAAAAATCCCACGACTGTATTAACCAGTAGAGTAAAAGAATTTGAAAAATTATAGCACCCATTCATGATTTTTTTAAAAACTTTCAGAAAAATAAGAATAAAAGGGAACTACCTTACCTTGATAAGAGCAACTACAGAACATCTACAAATAACTTACTTACTGGTGAAAGACTGAATACTAAAGATAAGGAGCAAAGCAAGAATGTTGTAGTGCAGGAAGTTATAGCCACTGCGTTAAGAGAAGAGGAAATAAAAGGCACACAGATTGGAAAGGAAGAGATAAGACTGTCCCTATTTGCAAATGTCATGATTATGTAGAAAATCCCAGGAAATCTATAAACTTCTATAACTACTAAGTGAATTCTATGTGATATCAGAATACGAGATAAACATACAAAAACTAATTTCTGTATACTAGCAATGAACATGTAGATGCCAAAATTAAAGGTACATTACTATTTACAATTAAAAAAAAGAAATACCTTGGTATAAATTTAACAAAACTTGTATAGGATTTTTATGCTGAAAACTATACAATATTGATGAAAGAAAACAAAAAATCTAAATAAATGGAATGAGATATTATGTTCATGGATTGGAAGACTCAACATAGTAAAGATGTCAGATCTTCTCAAATTGACATACAGGAGGTTATGTCAAAATCTCAGCAAGAATTTTTTTTTTCCAGATAGAAACAAGTTTATTTTAAAACTTATATGGAATGCAAAGAAACCTGAATAGCTAAAAACAATTTATTAAAAGAATAGAGGGCGAGTAATCAGTGTACCTGATTTCAGGACTTACTATATAAAGTAACCAAAACTATGTGGTATTAGTAGAGGGCAGACACATAGATTAGTAGAACAGGATAGGGAACCCAGAAATAGACCCATACACATATACCCAACTGATTTTTTGACAAAGATACAGAAAAAAAAAAACATCTCATGGAGGAAAGACAACCTTTTCAGCAGTTGGTTTTGGAGCAGTTGGACATCCACAGGCCAAAAAATTAACCTTGACGAAAAGTATCACAGTTTATATTTAAAAAAAAAAAAACTAAAAATGGATCATGAATGTAAATATAAAACAACACTTTTTAACTTATCAAACAATTATCTTTAGGATCTAGAGCTTAGCCACAAAAGCACAGTTCATAAAAGGAAAAGTTGTTAGGTTGGACTTTACAATTTTTTAAAATGTTTGCTCTGCCCTATAAGAGGATGAAAAGACAAGCTACAAAATGGGAGATAATATGTGCCATGCACATCTCTGACAAAGGACTAGTATCTAGAATATATAAAGAACTCTCAAAACTGAGTAGCAAAATGACATTTCAATTAGAAAATGGAATGATGAAGAGTCATTCTACTGAAGATGATATACAGAGGGCAAATATGCACATGAAAAGATTTTTAACCTTATTCTGTAGCCATGAGATAAATGCAAAATAAAACTAAAATAAGATATCTCTACACACACCTATCAGAATGGCTAAAGTGAAAAATAGTGACCATACCAAATGCTGGTACAGACACAGAGAATAGAATACTTGTACATTGTTGGGATATATAGTGACATAGCCATTCTGTACAACAATTGGGCAGTTTCTCAAAAAACTAAGTATTGAGCTACCTTACAACTCAACAGTGCACTTCTGGGCATTCATCCCAGAGGAACAAAAATTACATTTATACATAAACCTGTATGTGAAAAACTGGAAGCAACCTAGATGTTATTCAGTGATTAAACACACATGGAATACTACTAGTAATAAAAAGGAATGAGCTGTTGGTACATACAACAATCTGGGTCTTCAGAGAATCATGCTGATTAAAAAAGATCCAAAAGTTTTCATTCAGTTTATACCACAGTTACATAATATAATCCCATTTATATGCTGTAATTATTTCATAAATATAACATTCTTGAAATGATGAAATTATAGAAATGGCTTTCAGGGGTTAAGGTGGGGGTTGAGGGAAAGGAGATGGATATGGTTATAAAAGGCAGAATGAAGGTGGTGATAGGAATGGTCTACATCCTGACTATATCAATGTCAATATCCTGTCATATTGTACTATAATTTTGCCAGATATCGCCATTAGGAAAAATTAGGTAAAAGGTACAGGGGAATCTCTGTATTATTTCCATTACTACATGTGAATCTGTAGTTATCTCAAAATAAAAAAGTTTAAAGAAAAATAAATGAAGTGGGAGGTACCTTTTGGTGAAATAAGTACAATGAGATGGACATGTATTTTGTAAGACTTTTGAATACCAGAATAAATTGTGGATATAATTTTTTAGAAAATAAGGAACTGCAAAAACCATCTTGATTATATAGGTTTAACACAATGTAAATGAATAGAAAATTACTGTCATCACAGTATATAAATTGCCTTATTGCACACAGTTATAGATTATGATAGTATTTTACATATATCCTGTAAAATTCTCCATGTTTGGAAATCATTTTTTTGTAAAAGCCTTAAAAATAGAGTTGGACTGCCTATATATTTATAGTTTTAAAAATAATAGCATTATGAAATTATATGAAGTAGCTTATTTAGCTTACAGACATTAAATTCTAAAACTGATATTGGTACTGGAAGTACAATTTTAGCAGAGATTGATAGATATGCCTCTTTTTTTAGGGATAGGTTAATACCTTGGTATTGTTTGTAAGTTCCTTGTTCGGATCTTGGATTATGCTGTTATTAAAATAACATAAATGTGAGTCACATATCTCTTTGAGAATATTAAGTATCTCTTGAGAAAGAAGGACCATCCACCTAGTTTTTCATACAGCAGGGTTTACAGACATCTGAAAGCTATCTCTAAATCCCAGTTTTAAGAAGCAATGTTAGAAGAAAATACCCAAAGTATTTATATATAATTAATTTCAGTGTAATGTAAAATCATCCAAAAACATCTCACTAATGAGCGTCTGCTTGCTTGGATAGTACCAATGGCAGTCACCACATGGGATCCAAAATATATTTCCAAATAATCCTATATTGTAAGAGGCTTACAGTTTACTTTGAGAAACAAGATGTATTTATGAGGTGATTAATTATTAGAAGTGTCAGAATAAGAGTAGGGTAGTTCCTGCATTTAGATTCAAAGCATGACGGCTTTTGTAAATTACTTTAAGAAGACATTCTGATAACAGTACACTATTGCCTCTTTTAGACATAGAACTATGAGGTGGGAAATATAATTATTTATTTATAAATAAACATGAAAAGTGAGTAGGAAAACTGAAGATCATCTGCACTTATTTAAAAACTAATTCAAACTTTATGCTGGACCTTGGAGTTGTTGCTGTGAAAACATAAACACAGTCTCTGCTTTCATGGAGTTTACTGTTTTAAGGAGAATAAATTATTTAAGAATAGAATAAATGAATAGTTCATTCGGGCATTAATGTGCCAAAAAAAAAAGAAAAGAAAGAAAGCTTTATGTTGTATGCTGCATAGAGTAAAGAGAGTATTCTTACTGTGCTAAGAAGAATTTGACCTTTTTGAGTCTCAGAGTCCTCATCTGTAAAGTAGGGATAATACTGGATAATGTAATAAAGTATCAGACACAAGCCTGGCAGTTAATAGGTAATCAATAAACAGTAGTCACTGCTATTATTATTGTTTGAACAACTTGATGAATGGCTAGATTAAGGTACTTAAGGAAGAGGCAGGAGTTTAGGAGATGGAGCACAATATTAAGAAAGATGGACATTCCTTTGTTTCCAAGGCAGTAGGGAGACTTGCCTGTCTAGTATAAAAAGTTGTACTGAAAGATAATGTGTGTAATTGCAAACACTGTATAACAACTTTAAAAGAAAGTACTACTCTTTTACAGTTTTCCTGATTAGTTTCAAGTAGTTTTTTCTTTTAAAAAAATGACAGTGGCTTTCATATGGGGTAATATTTTTATATAAAAGCTTTACTTACCAGCTTTTACTACTTTTTCAGAGATTGGAAATGCTTATGCTGTTTTAAGCAATCCAGAAAAACGAAAACAGTATGACCTCACAGGCAATGAAGAACAAGCTTGTAACCATCAAAACAATGGCAGATTTAATTTCCACAGAGGTTGTGAAGCTGATATAACTCCAGAAGACTTGTTTAATATATTTTTTGGTGGTGGATTTCCTTCAGGTACTTTAATGTGAATTATAGATATTTTATTTTATGAGCCTAAAGATTCTTACCTCCAGTTATATAATTTAGAGATTTATCTACCTTCTTCCCTACCTTTCTTGTAGTGTTATCTTCCTGTGATGGTTTTTCATGAAGGTGGGAGAATAATGTTAGGGTTATTACTTTTACTATAGCCTGCCTTTTTCCTAGGACATATTTTAATTTTAAAAAATGAAGAGTGCAGAGGTTCTGTATTTTTTTTATTTTTTATTTTTTATTTTTTTGAGTTGGAGTCTCTGTCGCCCAGACTGGAGTACAGTGGCCGCTCCCGGCTACCGCAGCCTCAACCTGCTGGGCTCCGGTGATCCTTCCGCCTCAGCCTTCCAAGTAAGCTGGAACTACAGGCACGCGCTACCACACCTGGCTAATTTTTTGATTTTTATTGTAGACATGAGGTCTCACCAAGTTGCCCAGGTGCGTCTCAAACCCACGGGTTCAGGCAGTCCGCTCACTTCGGCCTCCCAAAGCGCGGAATTACAGGCTGAGTCACCGAGCCCGGCCTTATTTTATTTTTGAGTTGGCGTCTCGCTGCCCAGGCGGGTCTCGAACCCGCGGGCTCAGGCAATCCACTCACCTCAGCCTCCCAAAGGCGCGGGATTACAGGCTGAGCCACCGAGCCCGGCTTGAGATTCTGTATTTTATATAAATGTAAAACATAAAGCTGAAGAAAGGGATTGTAAGCAGAAAATTTAGTGGTGATTTCTCAGTTAAGAACTTTTACAGTTATAGAAGATATTTGATACCCTAAATGACTATTTGACATTGGTTCTTTGGAAAGCTTTGTAAATATTTTTTAAATAACATAGTTTGCTAATTTAGGTGTATGTGGAGGTCCTTATCTCTAGTTTCATTTAAATAGTAAAAAGTCTGATTCATAGGTTATATATAAAATATATATTTAGGGTTTTTACTATATTGTGATAGAAATGAACCACACTATTAGTGAATATTTATTTAGTGTTACTACTAAATGAATAGAAATGAACCACACTATCAAAGTGAAATGTTTATTTAGTGTTACTACTAAATGAATAGATTTTTATGGTACCAACATAAGAGATGTTGAATTCTTCTTACATTTATGGTAGGTTTTCGCTTAATGTCGTTGATAGGTTCTTGGAAACTAAGCACAACAATGTGCTGTATTACCATAGGCTAATTGATATAAATGAGAGTTAAGTTCCTATGTCATACAGTATGCTGTTTTTGTTTAAAGTTACAATTTCTAAGAATCTATCGATGATGATGGGTGAGGATTTACTGTAATGTGAGTTGTTTGTGTGGAAATTAATTTTCTTTGTGGCTCCTCTAAAATGCTTAAAATTATAGTTTTAGTCTTATTTACAACATTCACTTGAGGTGCGAAGTTAAACATCCCTTTCAAAATTAGGAGAATCTTTATAAATGTAGCAATATAATTTGACCTGGTAGCCATCTCTGAATATCATTGAGGAAGGTTGTGGTCATTGATAGACCATTTTGCAAAGAATTCTTGAAGGAAAGAAAATATATGAATAGAAATTAACAACTGAAAATATATCTTGTGTTTTGACATATTAGAGTATATAATTACCTCTTACTGAAAAAAATATTAAAACTACTAAGTTTGACTGAAAATATATTAGGAACCATCAAATATTTCAGGCAATAGTACATTTTTTTTTCCTGATAGTTGATTTGCAGTTCTTTTGCTGGTTGTAACATAGTTTACTTTGTCAGTGGTAGTCATTTCTGATTGGTTGCCTTATCTGAAAACAACTTGAATATTTGTCAGGTAAAGAATGTTTGAATAAATTGTCCATTTACTCATGATATATTATGCAGCTATTTTTTAAAAAATGAATTACAGTCATATCTTTTGATATCTAGAGATGTTTGTATTACATTAATAAATGCAGAAAGCAAAGGTCCATAGCTATTGATTCAACATTCTTAAAAACAACCAACCACAATAAAAGTCCTCTCTGTGTGTAAAGGAACTGTTACTCAAATTTTCATAAAGAAGAAACTTCTATTTGACTTTAAAGGAAGCAGACTCTGGGAAGACTCATTCCTATTTCTGTCCAGTCTTCACTCACAAGAGGAGAGGGCAATAAGCATTAACTATTCAAAATAAACATGTATTACTTTAGTACTTTTTACAAATTGAAGAAAAATAGAAAATGTAATTTTTCTGATCATAATTTCACTCCCTAGCTTAACCTTACTTTTAATTTTCTAGGTAGTGTACATTCATTTTCAAATGGACGAGCTGGTTATAGCCATCAACATCAACATCGACATAGTGGACATGAAAGAGAAGAAGAAAGAGGAGATGTATGTTTATAATATTAGAAATCACAAAATGACAAATATCAGCTCAGGAAAAGCAATTAGAGTCTGAAAATAGTGAAGTTGTTTTAGGAAATAATGAGTTTTATTTTATCAGAGGTGTTCAGTAGAGACTAGAAAATCCCTTAGGGATATTGTAGGAACAGGAGTAGAGGTCAGGGTTGGGAGTGTTGGGCAATATGACCCTATTCAGATTTGTTATTCTTTGATTCTAAGGAAGGTGCACCACACTTTGCATGTTTTGAAGGAAACATGTTGTCAGTCCTAAAGAATTTAGAATTAGAACTGGAAAACTTAAATTAGAGGTAACTTTCCTTGTTCTAATGCAGTTATACCTAATTGCCTAAAGCAATTAGATTACACGAAGTAGAAAGGTAAATGGAAAGATTACTAGACTAGAAATTAAAAGGCTGGGCCCCAGCTCTGCCACTCTTCAATTCCCATCTTCTACCCTCAAATTCAAGGTAAAAATAGTTTTACAACCTGCAACATTCTATTGATAGAGTGTGTGTGTGTGTGTGTGTGTGTGTGTGTGAGAGAGAGAGAGAGAGAGAGAGAGAGAGAGAGAGAGAGAGAGAGAGAGAGAGAGAGAGAGAGGAGAGAGGAGAACTTACTCATCTGTAAAATTAGATCTAGTTATATCAGTGTTTTTCAAGTCAGAATTTCCTGGTGATGTGCCTGGAAAGTTATATTTTTAAGAATCACCCTAGGAGGTTGGTATGATTAGGCAGATTTGAAAGCACTGATCTCAGATGCCCTTTTTGCTTCTCAAAATGTATGACAACCGTTAGATTATTGACAACTACATTACAATTTGTTATTCTTTGATGATTTTTTATAGGGAGGTTTTTCTGTGTTTATCCAGCTGATGCCCATAATTGTATTGATCCTCGTGTCGTTATTAAGCCAACTGATGGTCTCTAATCCTCCTTATTCTTTATATCCCAGATCGTAAGTAGCTAAGTGAAGTTTTACAAAATTAATTGTTGTTGTTTCTGATCTAGCTTCCTTTAAAGAGCTTGTGCTCTTTTAAACTATGAAGTCTTTTACTACAAATGTATGATTTGGAAATTTTAATCTCATTTTTAAGATAGTTACTTTAAGTGATAAATGTATATTATGTAGTTAGTTTACATTTCTGTTCCACTGTGGATAAGGACAGAAATGCTATATTCAAACTTGATAACAATTTAATGTGATAGGTAATGTGTTGACATTAAAGAAAAAACAATTATAAAAGAGAAAAATACTTTATTTTTTTGAGTTAAGGTCTCACTCTGCCACCCAGGCTGAAGTGCAGTGACATTATCATGGCTCCGTGCAGCCTCCAACATGCAGGCTCGGGCAGTCCATCTGTCTCAGTCTCCTGAGTGTCTGGGACTACAGGCACATGCCACCATGCCTGGCTAATTTGCTTTTCATTTTAAACAATATTTTTGTAGAGAAAAGGTCTTGCCTAGGCTGGTTTCGAACTCCTGGGCTCAAGTAGTTCTCCCACTTCGGCCTCCCAAAGTGCTGGGCTTATATAAAGGCAGGAGACACTGTGCCTGGCCAGAAAAATTCGTTAAAGATGAAAAGACGGATGACTGAGCTTACATAGATTTATATCATTAAGAGAGAAATGACTTTATTCTTCTGTTTATAAAATATTGATTAAATAAAAGCAAATATTACTTTTTTATGACGTATTTTCTATTTACATAAGAGGTCAAGACCTAAAGGAAATTTATACAGCATCTGTTCTGGATAGCTAAAGTGTAATACAGTGAACATAAAGAAAACTGTAAAAGCATATTGGCAGTTATTTTACAGTATTAAAAACAGATTGGCCTAAATATAAGAATTATCTTATTTCTTTCAAATAAGATTTTTCTTAACTAAAATTAAGGTAATTTCATAAGAACATAGTGTATTAAAAGTGTTATTGCTTTTTTAATGACATGAAATTGTGGTTTTAGGTATTTTGAGAGAATGTAAATAAATTACAGATTGAGTACTTACTATCCACAATGCTTGGGTGCAGAAGTGTGCTGGATTTTGGATTTTTTTAGATTTTGGAATATTTGCATATATATTGAGACTGAGACATCTTGGGGATAGTACTCAAATCTAAACATAAAACTTATGTTTTATATGCACCTATCCACCTAGCCTAGAGGTAATTTTATATAATATTTTTAATAATTTTGTGAATAAAGTTTTTGTATGTCAAAACATTAGAAAGCAAAAGTGTCACTATCTCAGCCTCCCATATGGACAACTTGTGGTTGTTTGGCATCACCATCATTCCTGATTCTAAATTTATGTGCTACTGATGAACAATTGCTTTCTTACACTTATTCACATATAAGTACTTACCAGTAGAAAATATGACATGTTGTTACTACAGTGAAAAAGTAATGTGTTCAGGATAACTAAGCAGCACAGTAGCATCAAGAATACCTGTATCTGCTTTTTTTTTTTTTTTTTTTTTTGAGTTAGAGTCTCACTCTGTCGCCCAGACTGGAGTGCAGTGGCTGCTCCCAGCCATTGCAGCCTTGACCTGCTGGGCTCCGGCGATCCTTCCACCTCAGCCTTCCAAGTAGCTGGAACTACAGGCACGCACTACCATGCCCAGCTAATTTTTTGATTTATTGTAGAGATGAGCTCTCGCCAAGTTGCCCAGGTGGGTCTCGAACCCGCGGGCTCAGGCAGTCCACTCACCTCAGCCTCCCAATATGCTTTTAAACAGCAACAAACAGTGGCAGACTTCCAGTCTCCACCACTGATGCTGTGTTTTGATTAAAAGGTTACTGTACTCCATTTTAAATGTGACCTGTCCTCTGAGGTCAACTGTGGAGTTTTCCACTGTGGCATCATGTTGACACTCAGAAATTTTCAGACTTTGGAGCATTTTGGATTTCAGATTTTTAGATTAAGGATGCTAAACCTGAATTACTGATATTAACTTTTTAATGATTTGTGATTTGTTTTGTTAGCTTGGTTTGTAGACACATATTGGGATGTCCAATTTTAATTAAAATAATGACCATGCATCTCTTTTACAGTGGATCAGGGCAAACTATTAAAATGCAGACAGAAAACTTGGGTGTTGTTTATTATGTCAACAAGGACTTTAAAAATGAATATAAAGGAATGTTATTACAAAAGATAGAAAAAAGTGTGGAAGAAGATTATGTGACTAATATTCGAAATAATTGCTGGAAAGAAAGACAACAAAGTAAGTTTGTCAAATGTCTTAACATTTTATAACTTATTCACAGTCTTTGGAATTGATTACCATAGATTTCCCTGCTCAAGGAATGTTCTGGAATTCCCTAGCATATAACTGGAGCTCAGAACTTCAGTGAGATAATATGTTTTATATATTTGTGGCCTAACACAGTAGCTGGCACGTAGTAAGGACTTAATAAATGGTACTTGTGTATTATTATCAATAAATATTTGATTGAATAAGTGAATAATATAAAATTTTATTGTATTTAAGATGTCCATTGTATGGTGCATCATTATTTTATGTACCACTGAGAAAAAAGAATCCTAGCAGATCAACTAGGTCATCAATTTTAAGATATATCCTGATTTTAAAATTTGAAACTCTTTATTAATTTAGCTTTAACATTTAACACTTAAAGTACAATGAATTTTGTTGACATTTCATTTTTATTTACTTTGTATATAGAGAAGCCCTTGGAAGCACTTAATTTGCTTAGCATTTTCCACCTTGTTTTCTTAACTTAAGAAACAGTTTAGCATAAAAAGGTTGACCATAAAAATCTGCTGAGATGATGCATGTGGATTGAGTATAGTGGTTCTTGTTTTTGTGATTGTTACAAATAATAATGCAGACCATATAGTGTAATGTTAGGAGCACTGACTTTGGATTAAAATTGAATCTGAGCTCTGAAATTTTTAGCTGAGTGATTCAGGCCAAGTATAACCACTATGAGTTTATTTCTTCATGATGATGATGGGTTGGAAGAAGAAATAATAGCTGTCTTTAATATAATGCCTATGGCTTCAATCAGTGTCCCAAGTACTTTATATATATTAACTCAACTAATCTCTGAAACAACCCTGTGAGGTTGTTTTACTCATTTTACATACGAAGAAACAAAGGAAAAGAAAGATTACTACTAACTTGCCCAAATTCATAGAGGTAGTTTTATACTCAAAACCAGTTTGTCTCTAGAATCCAGCCCCTGTGCTCTGACGTCTTCTCATCACTATAACCAGCATTATAGGTTTGTTGTATATTTCATTTGTAATGCATATATTTATCATTAGTAACTGCTACCCACAGCCTGAAGGAAGCCTCAGAAGTACTTACTTGCTGAATACCAATATGATAATTGTATAACAAGCATTTTTTTCTCTGTGTTCCTTCAGTAACATTATTTTAAGTAAATTTAGAACAAGATTTTGCATTTTTATACTTTAAGTCTTGGGATAATTAATCTGAAACAACCACTAGAAGTATTGATTATCATATCATATTTTTAGGCAAAAAGGCCAAGATGATGCTTCAGAACAATAGTTTTTAAACCACTAGGGGACAGGAGTTGAAGGAAAGCTTTCCAACATAAGTTGACAAGATTCTATTCCTTATTTCTTTTTCTGTGTTTGTTGTACATGCTAGACTTCAGGTAAAGTTTTCATTTAAAAACTTTGTTTTTCCTAAAATGGCTTTTAGCAGTAGAACTTGGATTTTTTTTGTCAGTTAAATAAATATATTGATGGGCTTCTCTGAAACATCATTGAGTATAAGTAACTAGGTGATGTAAATTATTATTTAATTAGCAGCATATTTTTGTTTGTTAACAGAAACAGATATGCAATATGCTGCAAAAGTATACCGTGATGATCGACTCCGAAGGAAGGCAGATGCCTTGAGCATGGACAACTGTAAAGAACTGGAGCGGTTGACCAGTCTTTACAAAGGAGGCTGAACTGGAATTTTTATGTATACCTTTTAGCGTACCCTTTATTTTTTCTTTAAGTTTAGTTTCATCATGAGAGATGAAGAAAAAGATTTGATATTAAAACGAAACTGAATAGTTGGTTCCTGAAATCTTGAACTGTTTATGACCTACTGGCTCCTTTAAATAGTAGGAACTGAAAACTAAAATTAATGTTTTACTTATGCTTCTGCAATTATTTTTCATTTTAAAAGCTTACATGATTCCTGACTAAAAATGTCTTGAGAAAGGATTATCACACCTGTAGCAATTTCCAATTTTAGTGATTCTCCATTTTTTCCCTTGTGTAAATATTTATGGAATGACCATTTTGTGTACATACAGGTTACTGCCTTTTTATTTAAATTATTTTAGTGTTTAGCTCCATAAGATACTTCATTTTAAACTGATGGAAAAATGTCATATGACACAATTACATTTTCCTTGTTAAGGTGTCAAATCTGTGGAGTTTAAACAATAAAACTTTTTCAAAAAGAAAAATAATCTTTAACTTTGTGTAAAATCTTATAGCATTATCAGCTTAGAGGGAATTGATATTTTTAATATTGCCATTATATTCCAAAATATATATTGAGACAAATGAACTGGTATAGAGTATCAGTTTACTCTTTAGTTTTATGAATTGCTATACATATACATGCATAGAAACGAAATGCTATACTGATAGATTTTAAAGAAACTATGTTGGCTATAAATATTAAATGAAAAGGTAATAAAGATAATAAAGTGCTGTTATGTCATTTACAATCCAATAATTAAAAGACCTCCACATGTTCATGTATGTCCTTGAAAGCTGCTACAATTTATGAAGAGGACTCACCTGATTTCCCCTCATGGAAATTTGCAGTTTCTTAAGTGATTATTTAAGCAGGATCCAGAAGGGTTCTTCTACAAATAATAAGAAAAATTATGACTAAAATACAGCTTTGTGCCTTTTAACACTTTTTAACCAACTCCTAAACATATAAATAGATTATAGTACACTTATTTGATCAGAGCATGATCTCTTTGACCCCATGCAACAATGAGCAGTAATATAGCAGCAAGTAGAATAGTGATTTAAAGCAAATCATCCTTAAAAAATTCTGAGCTAAAATTTATTCACCATTGAGTAATTCTATTAATCCTATAGGGCAGTAAGTTCTTTGTAATTAAATCCATAAAATAAATTAGAAAAAACCAGCTGGAAATTGAAGTATATTGGATATGAAATGACTTGATTTCTAGTCTTCTGTGTTTAACAGTTGTAATATTGTAATGATTTTGTTTCATAGTTAATGGAACATGAACGTGTTTTTGGTAGTTTCTGTGAGAGAATGCTAGATAGAGTGGCTTTGTTCTTTTGTTTAAATAATTTTTTTCTGAATGTATAGTTAATTTATGGTATCTGTTGAATAAAACTGCTAAAATGAACTTTTCTTATAAATGTTCTCTTGTATCCCCTTTTCCAGGTGAATCCATATAAATGTCTGATTGAATTAGTAGGTTAAATTAAACCACATATTGTCTTAGGAAAATGGAACAATTTAACCATCTTGTTTTTATAAATGTAACCTTTAAAAAAACAGAACTTAAAATATAATTTTAAATATTTTCTTGAGCCTGTAGATTACTTTTTTAATAAAAAAGTCAGAGCATTCTATTTAACTGTGAAAGTTCATATGCTTCAGAAAATTTATAAAAATTTAAATGAAAAAATTTCATCTATTTATTTTTCCGGTTTTAGTGGGAAACTTAAACTGTTATGGCTGATAATTATGTGAACTTACTTTCTTGTTAACTGACTCTTTTTCCCTTAATTACAGCTTTAAGGGAATAGGTGAAATTATCAAGATTAATGGTATCATAAAGTGTATATCATAAAGCTGTACATGGCTTTTGAACAGTATTATATTCATTTGCATTGCTGTACTCTATTACATTTCATAAAATGTTAGGAGAAATGTGATTGATATAAGAAGGTTTTCAAACAGCTATGGGAAATGACTGATTGAGTGCCCGAGAATTTAAGCTACATATGAAATATGCAAGTAAAGATTGGGTCCTTAATGTCACCTGTATCATGGAGCAAAGGCCCAACAAGTGTTTTAGAATTTAGGGTTAATTTTACAAAATAAGAAGACTTTAGATATCTTGAGTTGTAAGATTTTCATGTTTGCTACTCTTTTATAGTAACAACCTCAGTATTTTGCCATCTTATTTTTAGCTACATGAGCTTTGAAATTTAATTGGATTATTATAATTACTACTTAAAAGATCTCAGTTTTTAAGTATTGCTTTAATATCTTCTCTAACTGGTATTTTAATAGCTTGGCAGCAGTTGTATTATGTTAATGTTTTATGTTTTTAGTCCTCCTTACATACACTCACTCACTCACTCACTCTTGTCCTTGTGAGAGATTGGGGGAAAAGAAATAGTACTTTCCTCCTCTTCTTTTGAGTCCTTGATTCCCAAATAGACTGGTACTAGTCATTTAGTCATTTGTAAGTTTCCGAATTTATTTTGATCAAATAACTGAATTCTCAACAATGAGAAATATCAAGTTATAATCCACCTAGCAAGTGAAAATAGTATGTTCTGGGGACAGATTACATTTGAATGCTTAAATGACTATTTGTTGCATAATTATTGCCTGTTTATTTATTATTTAAAAGATTTGGTGGAGAAAAGTAGAGGCATGTATATGCCAGTGTGTTAAACTACTCTGCTTTTGTCAGCTCAGGTGTTCACAGGAACAGGAATGTGGAATGCCAGCCCTTTACTTTATTGGCACTTTTATGCTTAATTTTTCTTCCTGTTTAATCTTGAGTTACATCATATGAAAAATAGTACTGAAGAAATGAATAACTTTTTGATTTCTGTTGATCTGTAATATTTCTTAATGCAGCTACTTAACACATGTGACATGCTAATGTTACTTAATGTATTTCTATGTATTTCATTAAAAAAACAAATCCCTCCACTTCTATTAAGGTATTGAAACATTTCTTGATGTTGGCTTGAGGACCAAATGAGCTGTCTTTACAGTTAAGCAAGTTTTATGTCAAAGGACCAAATGATTAAAAGAGGAGAATTAGTGCATGTATCTAGCTTCCCCATGTGAAGCTTGGGTTTGATACTTACCCATATTACTATTCATCTTCCTATTGAGTAAAGTAAACTGAAGGGAGATTAATAATATTTTTTCTTATCTGAACAGAAAAATAACCAATAAATCTGAATTTTAATATTTATGAAATAGCTGAAAAACCTTGTCTGTTTATATGTTGAACTACTGCTTAGTTAAATTTCATCAAATTCTTTATAAACCAATGGAAAAGGGAGGATTAATCTAGCAATAATTTCCATATTTTATTTAATTCTAATTTTCAGTTATAAAGAAAAGGTGGATAGAATGAGGCTTTTCAAAGAATTTTTGCTCATCCCTTTAATAATTTTGCAGGCAATTCAGTCCTAGAATTCAGGCTTCCTTTTTGGTTTCATTACTATTAGATACTTTCATAAAAATGGAAACATTTTTCTTCAAAATATTAATTCAAGGCATACTCCTTATATTAAGGATTATGTAACCACATTTTTGTAAATTTCCTGTGTGTAACTTTTTCCTGTTGGTATGCGATTCCTTTTCATTTACTTTGATTATCTGCTGGTTTGGGGGCCAATACATTTGTGAATATTCTGTGGATGTGTTCATGTATAGGTGTATATATGTTTTTTTTCCAGCTAATACCTCAAATGTGTGATTGTTTAATATATGCCACACTATATTTGCACAGAGCAGGGCTTCCATTAGCAGTGAATATTCTTATTTCTAACTTTGAAAAATCAGTCCACAGAATTTTATTGGTGTGAATTATTCCTGTTGATCTTTTTCACATTTTAATGCAGAGATTCCTATTATAAAGTCCACACTTCAAAATATAATTGAACCTCAATATATATCTAGCCATCTGGAAATATATAGGGTAAGAAGTATTTCTTGAAATGTCTTAGTTTTGTAAGTTATTAAAAACAGGAATGACTGGTTGCTAAGGTGTCTAGTAACTGCATTGCAGGTAACACCTGGCATGAATGTAAGCAAGTTTCATTCACTTTAGCACAAGATTCGATGCATTCCAATTGATGTTTTACTTTACCATTTAAGTGCACTATTAAAGTAATAGAGATTTTCAGTGACACTGGCATATTTTAATCATTAATTTCAAAATGAATCGTTTTTGAATTGGATGACTACACCAATGAGAAGGAACTCACACATAAATTTTGTAATTTATCTGCATTAAGAAATGCTTCTTACCTATTTTTGGTTTTTGCATTGTTACAAAAGACTTTTTATTTAAAGTTTAGTTTATGTGTTTTTAAAAGCTACAGGTAATTTTTAAGGTGTAATGGAATTTTAATGGAAGCCTTGTATAAGTTAAATGGAATGAAACTGGTAAAGGAGAGCTTACTTTATTTGTCTGTAGTGCATCCAAGATTATAAATCAGGTTTAAAAACAAAGTGTCTGATTTGTAAAATATTTAATGTTATATCAGACTTAAATAAAATTTTCTTTGTGAGAACTGTTAAAGAGAATGCATTTTCAAAGAATGTTCTGCTGAATGGTTTATGATGAATTTTTGTCTTTTAGTCTCTGTAGTTTATCTCAGTATATTAATAAAAAGGTCTGTTCTCACTATAAAAGATTTGTTTTTATCATGTTTTATATTCTTAAGATGGCCACGTTTCATTCATTCAACCATTCAACAAAAGTATCAGTGCTTGTTATACCCCAAGCAGTGAGCTGCGTGCTGGGAATTAATCATTGTATAAAACAAAAATTCTTTAAAAGTTTGCATCCAGCAAAGAAAATAAATGTCAAGTAAATTGCTAATTATAATAAATGCTACAAAGAAAATTATAGGGTATGAGAGCATATATCTAGAAGACCTAAACTATTTTGGGAGAGTCAGGGAAGGGGATCTCCAGGAAAATGAGTTAAAGCCAAACCCTAAAAGAAGATATTAGTAGGAGTGAGGTGAATGCTTGAGGAGTATTTCACACAGAATGTGGTAAGTTGGTAAAGTGATAAAAACTTTATGGAAGTAAAAACAAACTTGTATGATGATAGCATAGGTGAGAGGATTAATATAGGGGCCGGATCCCCATAACACCATATATAACTATGAAGCTGATACTGGACTTTAAGTCAATAGTCAAGAAACTTGATTTTCAAGGAAGGAGTTGTTTTGTGATCAGATCTGGGCTTTTAGAATATTTTAGATGCTGTGTGAAGATTGGAGGGCAGAAGTGAATGTAGGAAAGATAGATTATTGTCAATGGAGAGATGATCATAGCTTGGAACAGGGTAGGAGTATATAAAGTTAAATTATTTTCAGAGATATTCAGGAGATAGAAGCAAGAGACCTCTCTGACTGATTGGATTTGGGATAAATGCAGGAAGCAATTAAAAACAGACTAAAATTTCCAAACGTTTGACTATGAAAGGTAGTAGAGGAAGAAGGGTACCCGAGGGAGCATGTGGTTTCTGAAGAAGGCTTTTATTTTTCAATTATTAGTACATGAGAAACTTTGCACATTTTAAAAATTCTGATGTAAAGGGGCATATAGAAGGTATCTGAAGTTCTGCATGTTAAAAGTAGAGGCTCGAGGTACACATGTGACTCCAGAAAGCCTATGGCTCTTCCATCCTATCTAGAGAAGGCCTCGAGGAAAGAGTTTATAGGGTGCACCCATGGGAAAGTCAAGAGACTAGAAAACGGGTCATAAACCTATGGACTTGTAATAATCACAGGCAACCTGATGCTTGCGGTTCAGCTTGTAACACCATCCCCTGACAGTTCATCTACAAGAAAGGGTTTTAAAAGAACGGACCATGAAAACTAAGGCAATGTGTGGGCACTCTCCGCACACGAATGTCTTCTAGCGATAATCTTGCATGCATTTTCCAGAGGGCCGGGGTCTTACAAGAATCCCTCATCCCACTGCCGAGGCCCCGTGACCAGAAGCACGGCGCGCAGGTGCAGGACGCGGCCCGCGGGGTGGGGTGGGGTGCGGTGGGGGCGCATCGGGTGGCTGCGCGCCAGTGGCTTCCGCCTGGCCTCCCCGGAAGTCCGTATTACGGGGCGGGGCAGGCATGTGCTTCCTGGAGCACAGACTAGGTTGTGCGTCATGTGACGGCGGCGTCTGAGGAACCTGACTTGAATCAGTGTCTGAAGTGTCAGCGGAGAGAACCGGGAAGCCCAGAAACCCAGGTAACTAGCGTACTTGGCCCGGCGTTGAAGCCTAGACCCGGGGGTGGTGCGGGTGGTGAGAACTAAAGAGGACTCTCCTAACCCCTTTTGGGCCTAGCTCTTTGGGGTGGAGGGGCAGGGATGGAGTGAGCTGACGTAAGGCGCCTTGCTGGGGACCGGTCGGGGTCTTTCGGGGCACTCCGACTCCCTTTGGCCTCGGTGGTCCAAGGCTTGACTCCTCGGAGTTTTGCCTGGTTCTGACGAGGGCTGATTTCGCTTATTAAAGCTGGGGGTGGGGAGGACAAGCCTAGAGTCACCGGGAGTTTCTCTTCCAGGCGTGGAGATTGATCCTGCGGGAGGAAGGGGTTCATCATGGCGGATGTGAGTTAACTCCCCCACGTTAGAGGAAGGGGAAGGGTGGGAGTTTGGAGGAAGCTGCTGAGCGGGCGGAGGTAGAGCTGCCCAAGTAGGAATTAGTTTCGCCCCCCCCCCACTCCCCAATTAAGTATTTTTTCTGGGATCTGGAGTAGGAGATTCACATGAATGAATTTTCAGAATCCTGAATTTCTGCCTGAAATGGGTTGGAGAAAATTGTATTCTCCCTGCTCCCCAGTCCCACTGGGGCATAAGAGAGGCTCTGTATATTTATCATTTGAAATTCTGCATAATGATTTGCAGCCTTTCCCGTCCATATGTGGTCAGTCCTCTGAATCCTTTTTCCCAGCAAGTAGACATGATGTCTCTTTGACAACATACGTTGTGTGTGTGTGTGTGTATGTGTGTGTGTGTGTGTGTGTGTGTATTTTTAAGGTGAGAACAACATTAAATTGATGGTGATAACATGAAATAAAGTGATCATTCAGATTTGGAGAAGAGTAGGGGTTGGAGATTCAAAACAACAGATATGTGGTTTATCCATGTGAGGTCATAATTGATACCTGGATTGTCAATGAAATACCTCAGATGAGAGAGTGTAATTAGACAAAATAAAATAAATAGTCTTCTATTTCTTTAGTTCTAATTGTGTTCCATGATAAGCACTTGACGCACATTGTCATTTATCTTTAGTCATGCGAGGAAACAAAGTCATAGAAAGTTGATCAACCTACTCGGGATCATTAAAATAATAGTAGAAAGTCGATCTTTGGTGATGTTCATAATATCTTCTCAAGTGAACATAATAGCAACAGGATGTAAAATACTAGTATGAAAAGTATGATCTGATTTTACAGCTAATATGCATTTGTGTTTCCCGCTTCTAGGTATGCATCTTCTCAGTAAGCTTTAACACTCTAATGACATAGGTTTAGTGATAAGCCTTATACAACAAATAATGCAACTGAGGCTTAGGGAAAAAAAGATTAGTTAACTTGCTCCAAGTAACATGACTAGTAAAATCAGAAGGAGAAAGATTAAACACAAGCAAGAAAAGTTATGAATGATAACTTAAAGTCCCTGAAATGTGGATAGGACAGGACCTAGAAGACCAATGGAAGGCATATTATTATAATGTAATTTTTAATATTCTTTTTCAGGACCTAAAGCGATTCTTGTATAAAAAGTTGCCAAGGTAAGAAATTATTAATTTGTTAGTGAATAAATTTTGTATGCTATATATTAATTTTATAAAGTATTTTGGGTTGTCCTTTGAATTTACAGATGTATAATACAAGGCCTAGAGAAGTTATTTGACTTGTCCAAGGTTAAACAGCTAACAGATGCTGGAAGGCTATAACTCAGATTACTTGTCACTTTGGAATTCTTTGAAATGTATTATTGTGGCAGTTTACAGGATTATACCTCAAAGTTGTTATAGTAATTTTAGGGAAACAAATTAAGAATGTATCTTTACTGTTAATATTGCTTTTAAGACCAAATTACTTAGTCTACATAACCCAAGAATGTTAGACATAGACAACAATTCATACTTGAAAAGCACAAGGATTTCTTGTGCCTGCACACAGTTCATTTGATGTACCATTTTATAAACTAGGCTCTTGTGTTAAGGTAAGCAAGTTGGCTTTTTGTTAATGCAATACTTAAATTCATTTGTATTCTTTTCCTCCCAATATTGACAAACTATGGTGACAATTGCTGATTCTGTTCTCAACCTAAAGATTAGCAATCCTAGCTAATCTTTAGCTTTGCATGGTAATACAGGGTTATAGAAATGATGACATAAACTGAAACTGGGCAAAGGAATTTTAGTAATTAATGAGAAAATAATAATTGTCTTGTGACTTTTAAAATTTTTTTTTTTTAAATTAAAACCTTCTTTGTTTAAAAATACAATGAAATGTATGAAATGGAATGGAAGCAAATACTAAAACTAATATTTGTTTAGTGCATAATTTAAAACATTGAGATTTAAAGTATTTTATTTGTGAAGAACTTATCTTGAGTAGTTTGGACAGGGTCTGCCTGCTTCTCTTCATATAGCTTAAGATAGGGCAATTGCCTTAGTTAGTTGTCATACTTTGTTCTCTTTCTAAGTTTTTAATCAGCTTCTAACATTTTTTTTTTTTTTTTTTTGAGTTGGAATCTCACTCTATTGCCCAGACTGGAGTGCAGTGGCACGTTTCTGACCACAGCAGTCTTGACTGCTGGGTTCCGGCGATCCTTCCACCTCAGCCTTCCCAAGTAGCCAGAACTACAGGTGCACGCTACCATACCTGGCTAATTTTTTTTTATTTATTGTAGAGACAAGGTCTCACCAAGTTGCCTGGGTGGGTCTCGAACCCGTGGGCTCAGGCAATCCACTCACCTCGGCCTCCCAAAGTGCTGGGATTACAGGCTGAGCCACCGAGCCAGCCTAACATTTTTAATGTTGTAAAATATTTCTGAAATGTTCTTTAATGTGAACTTTTTTTGCAGCCTCTCTTCCTCTGGGACATTTTCATTACAGCCACTTTCCTCATTTGTGTTGATAAATTTGCCTTAATTCCTCTGGTTGCAAATCTAGAATCTCTAATAGTGAAAGTATCAGCATTCCCTCGCTCAACTGTTTCTTCTATAACTCTATTTACTTTCTATTTGAATATGACTTCCAGTGTTATCATTTTTCATTTCTTTGTAGTGTTATTTCATCTTTATTGGCTAGTTCCCTCTTTCAGCTATCTTTTTTTTTAATGTCACATGGTTTATCACTGGGTGACACGAGGAGGTACACAACACATGCTTTGCTATCTCCGTATGAACTGAATAGCAGATGTGCAGTAACAAGCTAGCAATGCACTTTGAAAGAAGTGAAGTGACTGGTTTACTGGTGTAGCAGTGCGCTTTGTTAATTACATAGTTATTTATATAGTAATTTGGGGGTAGAAGAATTAACAAAGTTGAACTTTATGTGATTATTTGGTTAATATGCCATGGTAACTGAAATTTGACCCATACTGTTGTGTGGGGGGGTGTTATTTAACTAAACCATGGTAACTAAAATGTACATATTGAAACTGCAAAATGAGTCCTTTCTATATGTATCTGTAGCTGAAAGGGCGCTCAAATTGGAGTTAGGGGGACACCCCACCACTCTGGTGATGAAATACAGAAACAGAAGCATAGTTTATCCACTTAGAAGTCTTAGTGGTTTACAATCCTGTTTTGAGTGTAATATTTCTTTTTGAAGAAACAGCAAAATTGGATTCAGTATTCTTAAGTTGTAAAGCCACACGAAAGATATTCATTATTCACTTGGAGATGTAATAAAGCAATAATCGACTCATTACATAGTCTATGATTATAAGTAAGAACATTGTTTCATACAGTGAGAGTGCTCTGACGGTTACATTATTTGACCCCTGGGTATGGTGAAACTATCTGTATAAAAGAATTAGATAATAATCCAAAATGTATTTATTACATTACTGAGTAGCTCTAATGTTGATCAAAGACAGTTGAAAAGTATGGTTGCTTCTTTGAATTCTGACATCTTTTATCTTTTAACCAAAGAGAAAATATTAGCTGATTGTGCTTATCCAAGAGACAAATTCAGTTTAAGGATCTTTGTAAAAGCATCATGAAAATCTTTCCGTAATGGTAGGCAAAGGATTAGTAGCATCTATTTCATAATGACTGGCCAGTTTGACTCATTCATGACCATTTCTTGAAAGTAGACTTATTGCATACATCCCAGAACGAAAACAATGAAGGAATGATTTTTAAATACTTACAAAGAATAGTAGAGTACACATTTTGATTTGTTGCTGGCTGTATGGATTTAGATGCAGGCATCCTGGCCTCAGAGCCATGGATCTGTGCTTTTAACTGTTGTACTTCTATGCCCCTCAACAGCCAAGTCAGGTCAGCTAGCTACAGATATTAATGGATGTGTGTTTTTGAATTCTCTGTTAAATATCATTCTTGGATTTGTGCTTTAAAGTCAATTTGTGACCCAGCAATCTCAGGCTTTAATAATCAAACAATGTATGTTTGAAAATAAATATTGTATAATTATGTGAATAAAATTAAATAAGATGTCTTTGACTACTAATGCAAGATTGGTTTTTAAAATTAAAATGATTCTTTTAGTAAGCTTAAGATTTAAATTTCTTCAGAATAGTTCACAAAATCTTAATTTATTCCTTCTAAAAGTGTGTCTGTCTTCATTAATCACAGTTATTTTTTTAATTTTTATTTATTTATTTATTTTTTGAGTTGGAGTCTCACTCTGTCATCCAGACTGGAGTGCAGTGGCCGCTCCAAGCCACCACAGCCTCGACCTGCTGGGCTCCGGAGATCTTTCCGCCTCAGCCTTCCAAGTAGCTGGAACTACAGGCACGCACTACCACGCCCGGCTCATTTTGATTTATTGTAGAGATGAGGTCTCACCAAGTTGCCCAGGCAGGTCTCGAACCCGCGGGCTCAGGCAATCCACTCACCTCAGCCTCCCAAAGGCACGGGATTACAGGCTGAGCCACTGAGCCCGGCTCAGTTATTTTTAATATTAGTAAAATCTTTTCATATTACTTTGTGCTTTGTGTATGGAAGTGGAAACATTATTTATAACCTGATTTCTAAAAGTGAGTACATTAAGAGTATAAGTAATTTTTCTGCTTTCTTGGACTCATATGTCTGTGGAAAATATCAAAAACGAAAGTCCTTTTATTCCTAACTCCTCTTTGGGTGCATTAGTTGGTATTTAAATTAACTTCTATGGAAATTCGAAAAAAGCTACCTATGATAGCCTGAGTTTTCCTAAACATTTTTGTAGTACTCTTTTTTACCTGTTTTTAAAATTTGCCTATTTTGGGGGTCATTAATATATTCATAAAACTCAGGTTCAAGAGTTAGCTGAGGGATGTGGAGGGATGTGGAGTTAGAAGCTTCCAGTCCCTGCGCCCCAGCCACACAGTACTCCTCTCAGAGGCTCCCATTGTTCCTTCAGTGATATTACCTAGAGGCAAACACGTATATGCATATATTTACAGAAGCACACATGCTTACTCATTTTTGTTACAATTTGTTTCTTATACATGCTTTTTAAAAAATTTTATATATTTTTGTTTCAATAGCTTTAGTGGGTACAAATGGTTTTTGGTTACATGAATGCATAATATAGTGGCAAAGAAGTCTAGGCTCTAAGTGTACCTACTACCCCCACCTGCGTTCATTGTACTTGATAGGTGGTTTTTTTATTCCTTACCCCCTTTCAGCTCTCCAATGTCCACTATATCTGTCTTTCTGTATGCCTTCGCAGATTCTTAGTTTAGCTCCCACTTATAAGTGAGAACATGCCATTATTGGTTTTCCATTCCTATATTACTTCATTTAGGATGATGGTCTCCAGTTCCATTCAAGTTGCTGCAAAAGACATTATTTCATTCTTTTTTATGGTTGAATAGTATCCCATGGTGTATGTGTGTGACACACACTACATTTTTGTTATACACTGATTAGTTGATGGGCATTTATGCTGATTCCATATCTTTGCAGTTGTGAATAGTGCTGTAGTAAACATGAGTGCAGGTGTCTTTTTTGGAAACATCCTCTGTTTCTTTGAGTAGATACCAAGTAGTGGGATTGCTAGATCAAATGGTAGATCTACTTTTAGTTATTTGAGAAATTTCCATATCGATTTCCATAGAGGTTAGACTAATTTGCACTCCTCCCATCAGTGTATAAGTGTTTCCTTTTTCCTACATCTGCACCAGCATTATTGTTTTTTGTTTTTTTAATGATGGCCATTCTGACTGGTGTGAGGTGGTATCTCATTGTGGTTTTGATTTGCATTTCCCTGACCTTTAGTGATGTGTAGCATTTTTTCATATGCTTATTGGCCATTTGTATATTTTCTTATAAGAACTGTCTGTTCTTGTCATTTGCCCACTTTTTAATGGAGTTATTTGCTTTTTTCTTGCTGATTTGTTTGAGTTCTTTGTAGATTTTGGGTACCAGTCCTTTGTCAGATATATAGTTTGCAAATATCTTCTCCCATTCTGTAGGTTACCTGTTTACCCTGTTGATTATTTCTTTTGCTGTATAGAAGCTTTTTAGTTTAATTAAGAACCACTTAATTTATTTTCATTTTTGTTGCATTTGCTTTTGTGGTTTTTAACCATAAAGTCTTTGGCTAAGCTGATGTCCAGAAGTTTTTCCTAGGGTTTTTTTCTAGGATTTTTTGGTTCCAGATCTGACATTTAAGACTTTAATCTATCTTGAGTTAATTTTTGTATATGGTGAGAGATATGAATCAGATTTCATTTTTCTACATGTGGCTGGTTATCCAATTATCTCATCACCATTTTTTGAATAGGGTGTCCTTTCCCCAGTGCATGTTTTTGTCTGCTTTGTCAAAGATTGTTTGGTTGTAGGTATTTGGGTTCATTTCTGGATTCTGGATCCAGAAATAGTATTGCTCTTGCAATAGTACATACTATTCTAAACTGTAATTTTTCACTTAATAATGTAATTTTCAATCCTTACCAGTACATAAAGAACTTCCTCTTTCTTGTTCTTGTCTCCAAAGTCTTACATTGTATGTGTATATCGTAACTTATTTAACTTGTCCTTCTTGATGGACAGTTAAGTTTCTTTTTTTTTTCTTTTTGAGTTGGAGTCTCACTCTGTCACCCAGACTAGAGTGCAGTGGCCGCTCCTGGCCACCACAGCCTCAACCTGCTGGGCTCCAGCGATCCTTCCGCCTCAGCCTTCCAAGCAGCTGGAACTACAGGCGCGCGCTACCACACCCGGCTGATTTTTTGATTTATTGTAGAGATGAGGTCTCGCCAAGTTGCCCAGGCGAGTCTCGAACCCGTGGGCTCAGGCAATCCACTCACCTCAGCCTCCCAAGGTGCGGGATTACAGGCTGAGCCACCGAGCCCGGCTCAGTTAAGTTTTTAATCCTTTACTATTTCAAGTAATGTTGCTGTTGATAACTGCACACAGTGATTTGCATATGTGAAAATATCTGTAGGATATATTTTACATAGTTTAACTTTTAAGTTAGAAGAATATATTTTGTGTATTAATCTTATAGAATACGTCTTAATCTATAGATACTTTTATGATTGAATAAATGCCAATGATAGTTTAAAAATCATTTATACACAGTTTCATCATTCTTATTTTTAATGTGAAGAAGACAAACGATTTTGTTTGTAATATTTTTCACTCAAATTTTAATAGCACTTCTCTTACTAAAAAGTGTTTGGTGAGGAGGATTTTTAAAAATTTAATTCCAGTATTTTAAAATTAGGTTAATATGAATATTCTCATTCCTAAATTAAGACATTAAGATTAACACAATAAGGAGTGGATAATTCTGGGCTGCTGTAGGAACATTGAACATATCTCTACATATCTCTGAGTTGCAGTTTACAGATATTTTGAGATAGTTACAGTTTTGTGTTATGGTTAAGGGATTTTTACATAAATATTGAGGGTTTGGGAGTGTTTCTTTATTATAATTTTTTAAAACTTTACTGTTGCACACTAGAGTATATATTTCTTAATTTCTAATTTCCCAGATATTTTCGTTGATAATTTAGTGCTTAAACTGTAGTGATAAATTATGTCATTGTCACCCTGCACATTGACACCATTGATGTTCGTTAATAATAATATTTTTGAGTGTTAACTACCAGGCTTATGCTTTACAAGCATTATTTTATTAAAGTGCACAATATCCAAATAAATACAGTTATCCCCACTTTCAGATTGTTAAACTGAAGCTTAGGAAGTTTTCATAACTGGCTCAAAGTGGTATAAACAGTGAGTGACAGAGCCTGGGACTAGGGTCTTTCTAGAGCTATGTCCTTGACCATTCTTCTTACTACTTCTTATGGAGGCATGGTTGAAAGGATTACTGCATGGCCTTCATTCCTTCTGCCAATTCTTCAGCCTTGATCGATCTTTCCATGCCTCTTCACCTACAAAGTGCTATAACATCTCAGCTGAGATACCCCTTTCTTCAGGGATGCCTTCCCTGACCCATGTGCTTGTCTACATCAGCTCCTTCTTTCCTGGGCTTTCATATCTTCATTGACCTCATAATGGCACTTGCCACCACTTGTAGTTTTACATTTACTTTCTGAAGACAGGGATTGTGTCTATTTCTACTTTTTATAGTGTCAAAAGTATTAGTGCCACAAATATGGATCACTTAATATTGGGATGAAGGATAGAAAGGAAAAAGACTTTTTATTTTTTGAGTTGGAGTCTCACTCTGCCGCCCAGACTGGAGTGCAGTGGCACGCTCCCGGCCACCGCAGCCTCGACCCGCTAGGCTTTGGCGATCCTTCCGCCTCAGCCTTCCAAGTAGCCGGAACTCCAGGTTCAAGTAATGTTGCACTACCATGCCCAGCTAATTTTTGATTTATTGTAGAGACGAGGTCTCGCCAAGTTGCCTGGGCGGGTCTCAAGCCCGCAGGCTCAGGCAATCCACTCACCTTGGCCTCCCAAAGTGCTGGGATTACAGGCTGAGCCACCAAGCCTGGCCAAGGATTTTTTTTTTTGGTCGCTACAACTACTGCTGATGGTAACTTTCCATACTTTTGTAAACCATGAAATCATACATTAGCAATTTTAATGAAGTATCATCTGTGGTTTAGATCTTCATTCATAAACTATAAATTTGTAAAGATCATAAGCATGTCATTCAGTTTCTGGGAGAGTTTTGGCAAATACATTATGGAGCATAGGATATCAATAATTGAGGTCCCAGGGTTTTTCAAAAAATATATAAGAATTGCCATTGTGTCTTTGAGGTGCATATTTTGAGAAAATTAAATGTTTGTGTTTTAACTTTTTTCTCTTTCTAGTGTTGAAGGGCTCCATGCTATTGTTGTGTCAGATAGAGATGGAGTACCCGTTATTAAAGGTAAAACTGAGCACGTAAATGCAAATGTCATCTTTGCTTTTGACGAAAAATGCATGTATTGACATCTGAGTAGTGCAGAAGGCAAATATCTAAAACTCATTTCAGGCTGGGCATGATGGCTCACACCTGTAATCCTAGTACTTTGGGAGATGGAGGGGAGAGGATTGCCTGAGACCAGAGGTTAGAGACCAGTCTGGGCAACTTGACAAAACTTCGTCTCTACAATATATCAAAAAATTTAACCTGGCATGGTGGTGCACACCTGCGATTCCAGCTACTTGGAAGGCTGAGGCAGAAGGATCACCTGAACCCAGCAGGTGGAGGTTGCAGTAGCTATAAATGTGCTACTGCACTCCAGCCTGGGTGACAGAGTAAGATTATGACTCAAAAGAATAAATTAAAACAAAAATACTCATTTCAGTAAATTCAGGAGATGGTCTTAGTTTTCAAGGAAATGTTTGCTTTTGAGGGGAAATGTTGAAGGCTGAACTGGAACCTATAATGTACTACATATCAAATGTATCATGTTTACATATGGAGCTTCAGCTTGGATTTATCACAGACCCAGTTTCTCATTAAAGACATTTATGGTATAATGTAAACCATTAGTAAATCTAAGTGATGAGAGTGAGCATGTGTGCAACTAGCTATATTATACACATGGACATATATATGTGTACATATATGTGTATTTTTTAATCAACATTGCTAGGAGTTACAGGATAATACCCATATATTATCATCATATATTGATTGTTTTGTTTAATCTTGCCTGATTTCTTGCTTTCTTACTGGAAATAAGATTTCCTTTAACTTTTAGTTTCACAGTTCCGTGAGTTAATTCAAATCTAACAAGAATTTTCCACCTAATTTTTAACTTTTTTTTGAGTATATATGGTGTCATAGGGAGTAAATATGAATTCAGACTATTTTTATTATTTCTACCTTATGGCATGGTCGGAATGAATGTTCTAGTTATATTGGGCACTGTAATTGGCTTTACCAAAGGTCAAAAATTAGATAATGTTCTGTACATTTTGTTTACATTTTATTTTCTACCTGTGATTATCATATATTTATCATGCGTATATCAGACAACTTTAGACTTCAGAAATGAATGGAGGTTTAGAAGTCACCTAATTTAGTTCTTTCATTTTACAAGTGAAGGTGGTCAAGTGTGAAGAGTACATTGCCAGGCCAAGGTTGCACCTGAGACAGTGGCAAGACAGTGATAGAACCTATCGTCTGCAGTGTGGTTCAGTGTGCTTTCTAGCCCACCGTAAAAGTTGGATAGCCACAGGCAGGTTACTTGTCTTCTCTTGGTTCTGTAACAGGAACTTTGAACAAAATAATCTCTCATAGATTTTCCAGCTCTACTGTTCTTTCTGAAGATCTCTGTGTTAAAGCCTTGAGCTCTGCACTTACAAATATATAAAATTTCATACAGACATTTTAATGAGTGAGAGAACATGAAACAGGTAGCTAGCTGCAGGATTATGAATCTCTGTGAGAGATTTTTCCATTGCGGGTTCTATAAAAGCAAACATTTGTATAGCTTTTCTCATTAGGTTATTCTAGCCTGATTCTTAGGTAACCAGAATAATCAGTTTGTTAAATGTACTGATTAATCTGTTTTGTAAAGTAGATATCAAAAAAATATAAATACTTAGTATTCTTTTAAAAATAAAAATTGTGAGAGTCAGCATTTCTTCCCTTAGTTTTGATCAGTGTACTGCTGATTGAGGAGACTCAGTTAGTGGTATACTTTCAGTATTGTGAAACATAATCTTTGTGCTCAGTTTTTTGTTTTGTTTTGTTTTAGATTAGAAAATATAGTTTTTTATTTAAATCATTTATTTTTCTAGTGGCCAATGATAATGCTCCAGAGCATGCTTTGAGACCTGGCTTCTTATCTACTTTTGCCCTTGCAACAGACCAAGGGAGCAAACTTGGACTTTCGAAAAATAAAAGTATCATCTGTTATTATAACACCTACCAGGTAAGTTCATAATTATCAAATAGTTTGCTGATTTCAGTTATCATTTTTGTATCTTTTATATAAAATAACTTGTGTTATAATTATAAATTTTAGTTTTGAAAGGAATTAAATTCAAAATTTTAGCTTTCACTAGTAATTTTCTTCACATTTTATACCAGGAAATAATTACCAGGAAAAGTAATGCAAAGATTTAATAATAAAAAAAATCCTAAAAAGAAGAAGTCAGGTAGGTCACTGTTACCTCCAGTAGATGGTGCCCTTAGCGAAACAACTGATTTCCCACATGACACTTTTTTTGTTGTAACAAATAAAATATTTTTCTTGAAAGTCAAATGATAAGTTATTTAAATTTTCTATTGCTTCTGATTTCTTTATTTGGTTTGAAGTGTATGTATAATAAGTGAGGTTATTATTTCTGGGAAAAAATTAGTTTTTGCGTATCTCTTGATCTCCAACTGCATTCATTTTCTTCTCTCCCTTCTCCTCCTTTCTCCTTTTCCTTTCTTCTCCTCCTTCTCTACCTCAGTAACTTAATAAAAGTGACTTTTGGCTACGTGGATGAATTCATAGTGGTGAATTTCTGGGCTTTTAGTGTACCTATCACCCAAATAGTGTACAGTGAACTCTACTGGTAATTTTCAACACTTATTCTCTTTCTGTCCTCTCTCCTTCTGAGTCTCTAGTGTCCATTGTACCACTCCATATGCCTTTGCAGACCCCATAGTATAGCTCCCCCTCCTCACCGTCACTCTTCTTTCTTCTTCTTTCTTTTGGGTCTGTCACCAGGCTAGAGTACAGTGACACAATCACGGCTCACCACAGCCTTGACTTTGATCTCCTGGGCTCAGGCAATCTTTCTGTCTCAGCCTACTAAGTAGCTGGGATTAGCAGGTGCATGCCACCACGCCCAGCTCACTTTTGTGATTTTTACTGTAGAGACAAGGTCTCACCAAGTTGTACTGTCAGGTCTAGAACACATGGACTCAGGCAATCCTTTCACCTTGGCCTCCCAAAGTGCTGGGATTACAGACTGAGCCACTGTGCCGGCCAAGCTACCATATCGGCCAAGCTAAATGGTATTAATGTCTCTAAGAAAGATTGTCAGTAATTCTGTTTTGTGGAATATTTACTTTCAGCTTCTTTATATTTCATGATGCAATACTGTGGATGTTGGGCTATAACATTGACCATTTAAAAATGTTTGAAATATTGAGATATTTCAGTTGTTTTACTACTATCTTTTCACAATGCAACATAAAATAGATCTTATTTTCTTTTTAGGTGGTTCAGTTTAATCGTTTACCTTTGGTAGTGAGTTTCATAGCCAGTAGCAGTGCCAATACAGGTATGTTTTAATTATCTTAAACACAGCCTTTAATTCTTAATTTGAAAAAGGTAAATCTAGCTTAATGTAATTACTGTATGTGTGCAGTCTGATATATAGGAATAGTATACTTAAAGTCAAAAAACTTGAATTTGTGGCTCAACTGTTCACCATCTTTTTACTTTGTCTTGGGAAAAGTGATTTATCTGAATCCTAGTGTCCATATCTATATATTGAAGTTAATATCTGCTTTCTCCATCTTATGGGGTTATTTTCTAGTTCAAATGAGATAGTGTTTGGGTAAGTGATTTTTTTAAATTTTTGGCAGAAAGGAAGATTAAATGTAGTCTTGAGTGTTGCACCTTGTTTACAACAGTTTAAGAAAACAAAAAGAGGATAGAGAAGATAACCAAACAAACACATTGAAATGATCAAGGATAAGTTTAATTTTACGTGGACCAATCTATTTAATTAGGATTTTTAAAATTTTGCATAATAGGCAAGATGAGTATGATTGAGAATTTAAAGAGTGAATAGGATGAATATACTTTTCTTGAGGGCTGAAGAATTTGAGAACAAATGCTAAAAAGCTCTACTTTTTATAGAGAATAGAAGAATTCCATTCTATCCAGTACCCTTCACTGGATAGTTATGTGTAAAATAATGACAGTATTCAGTTGATTGTAATTTTCTTACTCCCTTTTGGATAAAGTAGAATTTTTTTAAAAGGTCTGTCTCCTTCAGATTTTTTAAATTCTAAAACATGAAGTTAAATGTCTCCTTCAGATTTGATTGCTGTTGAGAATTGTTACACAGTTCTTTTCTGTCTCCCCACCAAAGCTGAGCAAATTCTTTTAACTAGGTCACTGAAGCCTGTCCTTAGATACCTCATTTTTAGAATGAGAAATTTAGACTTGATTATTTGTTAGATCGCTTCCATTTCTAAACATTTTAGGAAGCTATAAAATACTTGTATGAAAATATTTTGTAAATTATATAGGATAGTAGTAGTGTCAATATTTTAAGTATACTAAACCTCAGTTTTGATAACTTACCAGTCATCACGTACTAAATCATCAGTTCTTATATATTATGATAACGTACAGATTTATATTTTAGTACTTAGAACCTTTTCTTGAGAGCCTAGATATTTTTAATATTCTGTAAGACAGAGGAAGATCTTTATTTGTTTGAGCATAAAATAGGCTCTAAGATGTATAACCTTTTACTCTGGTGAACTAAGGAGATACTAAATATGCTAATTTCTAAATGAGTTTGTCTCCCAGATTCATCAGTGAACTCCTTTCTAAACATGAATGTTTTATACTCTAACATTCATCTTTAAAATATTTTTATTTAATATATTTATTTATGTCTTAGCTTTATTGAATTTATAAAATAAATTACTGATTTTCTTTGATATGGAAGCAGCTGATTTTCATGTCTTATGATAGAATCTTAAAATTTACTCAGGGAGAAAAGTATACTTATTTAGTAAAAGTCATGCATTATTTCTGAGTCAATGCAAAATTTGGAAACAATAAGGTATAAATTAAGGTATTTCTTTCAAAAATAAAATTATAATACATACATGTAATTTGTTCTATATTTACTAATATATGCATGTTTTTCATTTATTTACTTTAGTAATAGATGATGAGATAAACTTTAAAAAAAATTTTATTTTAAAGATGTGGGGTACAATTCAGGATTAGATATACAAATGTTCATAATACAGGTACCCTTGTTAATGAGGTGTGTCCCCCTCCTCTGACAGTTTCCCACTACTACCAATCTCAGTCTCCCCCTCCCCGGCATTTTTCCACTACTGCCAATCCTTTTCCTATAGTATTATGATAATTGTTCAAAGTCCGCTTATGAGAGATAAACTTCTTAATGAATATGGAATTTTGTGTTACTTTATTTAGGATTACAGTACAGGTTGAGCATTCCTAATCTGAAAATTTAAAATCTGAAATGTTCTAAAATCTGAAACTTTTTGAGCACTAATATGTCATTCGAAAGAAATGTTTATTGGAGCATTTCAGATTTTCAGATTAGGAATTTTCAACCAGTATATATTTTGCAAATATTCTAAAATATGAAAAAATCTGAAATACTTCTGACTCCAAGCATTTGGATAAGGAATATTCAACATGTATTTTGTTTTTGTTGTGGGAAATAAACTTTATCTGATTTACTTTTTTTTAGTGACTATAAACTTGTGACAACAGGGAATTTTAGTTGATGACTTTCAGGAACATTTTTTAACAGTCTAATTTTCTTAATCTCTTTTTTAGGACTAATTGTCAGCCTGGAAAAGGAACTTGCTCCATTATTTGAAGAACTGAGACAAGTTGTAGAAGTTTCTTAATCTGAAAGTGGTTTCTATGTGTACCTTATCTTCATAATAACCCAATACCAATTCAGCAATCTTTAGACCACAGTACTACTTTTTATCCATATGCTCAAGAAGGAACGTTTTTTCCATCTTATATTTAAGAAAGAACCTATAGATACAAATATAGAGAGATTAATTGCTATATTTTCTGGTGTAAGTTCTTATTTAGTGAGATCTGGGGATACCACAAAAATGGTTCAGTTTATCATAGCTCCCATGGAGCTAGTCCAGTCACCAAATATAGATGAGATTCTGCTTAGTGGATCAGAATCAAACTGGTAGATTGATCCACTGAGTCATTAAGTGTTCCCTATTGTACAGTACACCCAGGCCTGCAGAATGAAGCAGACTCTTTTTATTGAAAATAATAAGGACATATTTTTCTTCAGATTATGTTTTATTTCTTGCATTGAGTGTGAAGAACATGAACTTGCTTAGTAAAAATAATAAATCAGTACAATCACTAACTTTGTATATATTATTTTACTAATTGGTTTGGTTCTTCTCATAGGGTGCTACTCTTTAAAGAAAATGAAAATTATAGCTAATGGTTTTTACCCCCAACTCTGCTTTCTGTAACCAATCAGTGTTTTAATGTTTGTATGGTCTTTATAAAATTTAAAAATGATACTATTGAATTCTGTTTCCAATATCAGTATGTGTGTAAACATAGTATCGCCATTTCTTTCATACATGAGTATGAATATAATAGTTTATTTTTATTTTTTTAGTTGGAGTCTCACTCTGTCGCTCAGGCTGGAGTACAATAGCATGCTCATGGCCACCGCAGTCTCAACCTGCTGGGCTCAGGTAATCCTTCCACTTCAGCCTTCCGTTAAAATAGTATTTTAAAAAATATAGTTTGAGCACCCTATAGGTCTTTTTTTCCCCCCAGAATTCTTTCAAATTCACTCTTTCAACCACATGAATAAATAGTGAGCGCTTACTGGAGATTGTTTTACCTGGTATAAATTGTCAATAAGAAAAGAAACTATGCATGAACCTAATTTAATCTCCACAGAAGATATATTAGGGTTCTAGAATATACCCTTTAAATTCAAGAATGCAGTCCATTATTCAGAGTTGTTAATTTCCTTCTAGATTCTTTGACAATCAGCTTGTCACTGGTACAGTTCAGTATGTATGCATTGAGCACCCGTGTGCCACTTGCCCGAGCTGCTGTGTTGCACAATTCTAAGAAGCACTATCACGTCATATATCTGTGCTCTAGGAGTTGCCTTTCACATACAATATGTGTAAATGCTATCCCAGAGTTGTGCAGTGAGATAGTCAACTAGGTACTGTGCTATCTTTCCTTCCACCCTCCTCCTTCCAATATAAATATGAAATTCATTTGTGATACTTTCCTTTAAAGGAAACGTATATAGAAAGCGCCATGATAGGCTGGGCTTGGTGGCTCACACCTATAATCCCAGCACTTTGGGAGGCCTAGGTGGTTCGAGACTAGTCTGGGCAACTTGGTGAGACCTCATCTCTACAATAAAAAAAATTTAGCCGGGCACAGTGGCATGTACCTGCAGTTTCAGCTACTTGGAAGGCTCAGGTGGAAGGATCAACTGAGCCCAGCAGGCGAGCGTGCCACTGCACTCCAACCTGGGCAACAGAGTGAGACTCCGACTCAAAAAAAACAGTGCCATGATAAAGTTATACACAGAGTGCTGAAGAATCACAGAATGGGATATGTAAAATGAGCAAGAACAATAGCCTTTACAAATAAACAGAGGCAAGAGATATAATTTTTACCTACAAGGAGCTACAAATACAGTCATGTACTACATAGCAATGTTTCGATTAGTGGTGGGCCACCTATACAAGGGTGGTCAGAACAATAGACTTAATCATATAGCCTAGTTGTGTAACAGGCTATACCATCTAGATGAATGTCAGTACACTATGATGTTCATGTAAGGATGAAGTCATCTAACAAAGCATTTCTCAAAATACATCTCTATTGTTAAGTGGCATATGTCTGTAGTTAATTGTACATTTTAGTGAAACACTAGACATACCCATTAAAATATAGAATTCCAATCATCTGGATTATTAATCTCTGGGAAATTTTGGCCAATATAATGTTGCATGAAACAATAAGGTCTTTTAAAATGAGATGGCCAAATTTTTATTTGCAGGTGGTAATTGTATGTTTAAAAATCCCAGGAAAAGAACTAATAAATGGAGGTACTTAACCTTTGCATATTTAATATTGCCACTGTTAACATTTTCTGAGAGTAATTGATAAATTGTTTCATAGTTAATATGAAAAAATAGGGGGAAATTGCTAAGAAATGTTTGAAAATGTAAAATAAAACTAGATTAACTAGTTTTAAAATATACTAAATCTAGATTCTAGATGCATAACTAGACAGAAAGAATGGAATGGACTCAGCCAGAAACAGACATTAGTACATGCACAGGAAGACTTAAAACATTATAAAGATGGCATCATAAGTCAGTGGGGAAAGGATTATCCAATGTAGAGCAGGCTTTTTTTTTTAGTCTACTAGTGTGAATTAAGTGTGAATTGTTATACCCTTTATATACAGCAGTTTGGCAACCTCAGCTTTCAAATGCACATAATCTTGGACCCTGCAATTTCACTTGTAGACATGTATTCTATCAATGCATGTAAACATGTAAAATTATATACTTATAAGTGTCTTCTTTGCAATGTTGGTAATACCAAAGGATTGGAAGCAACCTAAATATCCACAACAGGTAGGAGGACCATATGTTCTAGTTTTTTTTTAACAGTACCCGTTTATACCTACTGTTCCTGATACAATTATTAATAATGGTCCTTGCACAAATGTCCCACTTTAGATAGGGAATTACATGGTCACTTTTATCCTAGAGCATAGGTAAAATCAGTTACATTTGCCTGATGGAGTATCTAAAAATCCTAGGAAACGAAGCAGTAATAAATGGAGGTACTTAACTTTGTGTGTTGAATATTGCGACTGTGAAAATTTTCTGAGAATAATAGATAAGTTATTCCACATGAAGAAGCGCTTTAGATACTGAGATTAAGTGGTCTCCAAGGCACTGTTCATTAAAAAAAGTATGATATGAAACTGTGTGGCATGCTACAATTTATATAGAAGAAAAAATATATATGTATACATATTTGTATATAATAGAATATTTCTGAAGAGATACATGGAAAACCTTGATGACATTGGTAGCCTCCAAGGAGGTTCCTGGGGAATAAGGATCTGGGAGTGAGCTTTTCACTGTAAACTTTATTATATTTTTTGAATTTTTAACTGTTCAAAAATAATAGAATTAGAAATTAAATAAAATACTTCAATCAACAAAATTTAAAGTGGGGGGATATATGGGGAAGAAAGTTGTATCAAGGTTCTTCTAAGAAGCTGAACCTATTGCATATATATTTTAGGGAATTGGTTTATATGATTGTGGGGACTTACAAATCCAAAATCTGTGGGACAGGCCACAAGGCTCAAGAATCTCAGGTTGGAGATGAGACTGCAGCTTAGAGACAGAATTTCGACCTCCTAGAAGCCTTAGGTTTTTTTTGGTTTTTTGGGGGGGGGGTTGAGTTGGAGTCTCACTCTGTCACCCAGACTGTAGTGCAGTGGCTGCTCCCGGCCACCGCAGCCTCGACCTGCTGGGCTCCGGTGATCCTTCCGCCTCAGCCTTCCAAGTAGCCAGAATTACAGGCATGCGCTACCACATCCGGCTGATTTTTTTATTTATTGTGGAGATGAGGTCTTGCTGCCCAGGCAGGTCTCGAACCTGTGGGCTCAGGCAATCCACTCACCTCAGCCTCCCAAAGGCGTGGGATTACAGGCTGAGCCACTGAGCCCGGCTGAAGCCTTAGTTTTACTTGTAAGGCCTTTCAAATGTTTGGCTGTGTCTTACCCACATTATGGAGGATAATCTATTTTACTTATTTTCAAGGGATTATAACACATCTAAAAAAAAAATCTTCATAGCAACACCTAGATATATGTTTGATTGAGTAACTGTGTATTGTGTCCTAGCCAAATTGCCACCTAATACCACTAGTCTTCCACATTCCACCCTAGTCAGCTTGGACCTGTTTGCATCTCCCGATACCATAGTTTAATCTGGTTTATATGGTTAATAAACACAATAAATATATGATAAAGACTATAACCAAGTTGCGTTTCTAGCATGTTCAACCAAGAATATTCCCCAGAATTTTCCCCAGGAGGGAATTCAACCCATTCCCCAAAGGATGCGGAGTCCTTGGGTGATGTTCGCTTTTTTCCCTGCTGTCCTGTAACTTAGTACAATGATGTAAGGTTAATTATTAATACAACTTACATGAGGTAATAAGAGGATAAAGGAGGGAAGAAAAATATTTGGTTTATGTGTGTATCTAATAGTTGCATATTTGTATATGTAAGTACACAAACATTCATAACACATAATCATAGACTTTGTTTTACCAGCAGCCCGTGTGTTTGTAGGTCATATTTATTACTACCTTGATGTTATAAATACCAGGTCACAGGACTTGGTAGTACTGAGATTCCCTAATAGAGCTCCCATGTTCCAGGCAGATTCGTCCTTACTTTTGTTGGGCAGTAGAACCCCATTTCCCAGGTAATTGGGACCGGTCAGCCAGCAAGTACAGTAATTCTCGTTATTTGTTGATGGAAAAAGTGGCAGTGTGGCCATCTAATTTCCAGTTTAATACCATCATTATGTCTCCTGGTGAAGGCATTACTCTTTTTGGAGCAAAGACTTCTAGAGCTAAAAAGCATAAGAACATGGGGACAGCCGAGTGTGGTGACTCACGCCTGTAATCCCAGCACTTTGGGAGACTGAGGCAAGAGGATTGCTTGAGCTAGGGGTTCGAGACCAGCCTGGGCAATGTAGCAAGACCTCCCTACAATAAATTAAAAAATTAGCCAGGTATGGTAGTGCACACTCAGAGTCCCAGCTACTCTGAGGCAGGAGGATAATCTGAGCCCAGGAAGTCGAGGCTGCAGTGAGCTGTGATTGTGCAACTGTACTCCAACCTAAAAAGAGAACATGGGGACAGAAAACAAAAATTATCCTAGTGTGTCACAAGGGATAGTAGTGAATGGTACCACTCCCATTTCTATTCTTGTAATTCTTGGCTATGGAAGAAAGAGCAGCATATATTGCATGCTGATTAAGAGCATATGTAGCTTCCTGGAGAATATTGCCCCAGCCCTGCAAGGTATCACCACTTAGCTAGTGGTATACCTGAGTCTTCAAAAGGCCATTCTGCCATTCAGCCAAGCCAGCTGCTTCAGGATGATGAGGAACATGGTAAGACCAATGAACTCCAAGGGAAATAATGTTGCCTCCAAAATTCAAAGAGACTCACTAGGCATGTTGCCTCTTTTTTGGTTGTGGGAGGGCCAGGTGCAAGTTATCCTTTACCTTGAAAGTGGTATCTTGACACGCCCCACACCATTGGACCCCTGGTTATTTCAGTGAGTTGGAAGGCACTTGAATTTTTGTCACATTTATTTCCGACCCTCTGAGACACAAGTGTCTTACCAGTGGGTCTAGGGTAGTTGCTACTTTTTGCTCAGTAGGTTGAGTCAGGATGTTATCAACATAATGGACCAGTGTGATATCTTGCGGCAGGGAAATGCAATCAAGGTCCCTGTGGACTATCTGATGACATGGCTGGAAGGTTGCTATATGCTGAAGGTAGGACAGTGAAGGTGTGTTGACCTTGCAAGCTGAAAGCAGACTGCTTCTGGTGGTCTTTACTAACACGTATCAAGGAAAAACATTTGCTAGAGCAATAGCTGCATACCAGGTGCCAGGGGATGTGTTAATTTGCTTTTGCAAGGAGATTGCATGTGGAGCAGCAACTGCAATTGGAGTCATCATCTGGATACCCTTGGGATAATCCACTATCATTCTTCAAGATCCATCTGTTTTCTGTTTAGGTCAAATAGGAGAGTTGAATGAAGATGTGGTGGAATCATCACCTCTGTACCCATCAGGTCCCTGATGGTGGCATTGGTCTCTGAAATCCCTCCAGAAATGTAGAATTGCTGTTGGTTTTCTATCTTCCTAGGTAGAGGCAGTTTAGCAAACTTCCACTTGGCCTTTCCTATTGCAGTAGCCTTCACTACACAGGTCAGGGAACCAATATCAGTTGTGTTCCGTCAGTTGTGGAGTGCAGGCATACCTCATATATATTTCTTTTAATTTCTAGAATTTGCTTTAAAATGTTCCAGTCATAAAAACTATTTTTTTTAAGTACAGGAGAGATAACATGGCAAAATATTGATAATATTGAAATTGGGTACTTATAATTTGAAACATCTAGAAAAAAATTGTTAAAAGGTCATGAAACTGCTGCAGATGGTATCTTTGTGAAGGGAATTTTTTAAAATGTAAATTTGCTTTTGATTGTGCAATTTGCCCTTGTTGAGACTTGTCTTTTTGGATCATGGTGTGTCCTTAAATTTTTTTTTTTTTATTTAATTTAAACAATCAGGCTGGGCTTCTCAGCCACTCTAGTTTCACTGTACAAAAGACACTTTGAGTGAGATTGTGCTTAGCAATTAAAAAAAACTTTTGTTAAGAGTTTTGATGTTTTGACATAGTAACTTTATGTTGATTGAATCTGAAAATTAAAAATTGGGATTGCAGCATTTGAATTATTATAGTTTGTTTTTACTGAGTTTTACAAAATTCCAATCTGTGATAGATCATAAATGAAAAATGAAACAAAAAAGAAGATCTGGTCCTTCACAGATGGTTTAAGAAGCTCTGCCTGACATCATGTCCAGACAGCCTACATCCAGAATGAACAGAGCATAGGCTCAAGCCTGGACCCCTCCTATGTAGTGTTCTTGGCTAGGAAGAGTTTGGTAGAAACAGGATTTAGCTACAGTGGATCTAAGGTAGTAGAAAGGGAGGGATGTTCATCTTATAATAGTTATCCTACTATCTGCCTGAAACATGAGTACAGTGGAACTCTTGACCTGCATGTGTGGGAGGTGAAGAGAGGGGAGCCCACTCTCTTGCATACCACATGGATGGGAAGACAAAGATTGGTTCCACTGAATGTTCTGAGTCCAGTGGCTCTGGAGTAGGGGGCAGGTTTCCCCAGAAACAGTGCAGATGTTCCTTGACTTATGATGAAGTTCCATCCCAATCCACTGTCAGTTGAAAATATTATAAGTGGAAAATGCACTTAATACCCGATAAGCCCATTGTAAAATTTAAAAATCCTGAGTCAACCATCTTAAGTCTGGGACCATCAGTACTAGCCTTCCCTGCCCCTGCTCCAGAGGGGACTGTTCTGGTGGGCAAAGATTTTCCCAGAGGGAATTCTGAGAATAACTGCTAATACTCTGGCTGTGTCTTATGGGGTATTTCTTTCATACCTGTTAGCAGACAGGGCCTGACAGACACTCCACCCTCTTTCCTCCCATATTCCCTAACTCTGATCTGACATTGATATAAAACATCTTCCCCTTTTGGGGGGAAGCTTACAGAAATAACTAGGGGCCCCTCACCAATCTTTGCAGGACTACTGAAAACAGGTAAAGCATTTGGCTTGTTCCTAATGTCATAGTGGGTACATAGCTTGCCTTTTTTTTTAATGTCAGTACTCTGCAACAGGTGTTATTCTCTGCTGAAGCACACTCTCCACTTTCAGAAATTATTTATTTCTACAGCTTCCAGAAAGTATTTATTTCTACACGTTGTCATATGTGTTTGTTTTTTCTGTATTCAGCTAAGAACTCCTTGAAAACTGGGACTATTTCTTCAACTTCCAAACCTTTGTGGCTGATAGTTTTAACTGTACTTGATTCAACATTGCTGTTTATGATATTAATCAGTTGTATTTTTAAAATTTACAAATATTAAAAAATAGCACATGCATAGCAAAAGTATGCTCTTTTTAATAAACAGAACCAAAGAATATAAATAAACACAGTATGTTTTACAAAAGGTAAAAACAATACTCAGTGATTTATCATAGAAATAAAGATCTGAGTACCACCTGTACTCACTCATAAGTGGACCCTAAACATTTATCATAATTCTATATGAAAGGGATTGGTAGTAGTGGAACACTGCCAGGGAGAGGGGCACATAACATCAGTAAGGTTACCCACACTTTTACCTGTATGATGACCATGTATGTACCTAACCCTGATTGTACTCCACATTTAAAAAATAAAAATAAAAAGGTAAAAACAATATTACTTACAAAAAGTAACACCCTTGTTTCTAAGAAAACAAGACATAAAACTATACCTCTTAGTTAGGATTCATTTGCAACTTCTTACTTTGCAAACTTGACATAATACATTTTACCTTGATCTCATATAATACAAACATAACAAAATACATTAAAAATCCTGCTGTAATATACAATGTAATTTCTGAGTCTTAAATGTTTAAATAACAGAAACTTACTTAACAGGGTATCCCTTTGAATGGCAAGAGCCGTTTATATCATAGCTTTGCACCATAATTGTTTTATTCTCAGGCTCTTCATGCATTTTTTGTCTCCCTTCAAACTTCTATCTTAAAAAAAAGTTATTTTTAAAAAGATCATAAAAGAGGTTACAATCTATTTAAGAACCCTGGATACCGGTATCTCACTCTCCTGTTTCAGTCACCTTATTCTAGTTGGAAGAAGCTGTGTAACACCTTATTTTGTCTTTCATGTAGATTTAGTGTTACTCCCCCAACTAGCAATGAAAGTTGCTCTGAAGAAGGTGCAGGGTGCTTGGGAAGCAGAGCAAGGTGACTGTTGCCCAGGCTGGAGTGCAGTGGCAGGATCACAGCTCACTGCAGCCTCAACCTTGTGGGCTCAGGCGATCCTTCTGCCTCAGCCTCTCGAATAGCTGGGATCACAGGCATGCACCACTACACCTGGCTAATTTTTTTTACTTTTTTTGTAGAGACAAGGTCTCACTATGTTGTCTAGGCTGCTCTTGAACTCTTGAGTTCAAGCAATCCTCCAAAGTGCTGGCATGAGCCACCGCGCCCAGATACAAGGTGATTCTTACATCTTTGGGCCAACCCTATACAGCTAATTCTGAAAGAGATAACTATAACACACTCTCCTTGAAAAGTCTCTTTCAGTCTGGAGAAATGTTGGATAAAGATAACTTAGTGCTTACAAGTGCTCTATTATTATTACTATAATAACTAATAATACTATTAAACTACAAGTTATCTACTACTGTATTACCTTTCCTCGGTTTGTTTTTTCTCATTCTTAAAACATTTCTCCCTAGAAGGTTAAAAGAGATTTTTAAAAATATTACCTTCACTTGTTTTTACTGTTACTTAATTACCCATAGGATATTTAGCTCTCACAATTTTATTATTAGAAATGAAGGATCCACTAAATTTGTGAGACTTTTAAAAAGAGAAAATAAATACTAAAATAAATAAATCCATTTTAGTTTGGGACTATTTTTGGTTTTTGTGTAAAGGAGAGGAAAAAAGTAAAAAATGATCTCTCCCCTGAAAATATTTGATGTCTGTTCTCTCCATATAATTTCTGAAGATGTGGTGGTCTAAGCCTCCAGGTACATGACTGTTTCCTGCCTGGTTAATAGCTCAACCTGAATGTCAGATGGACTGACCATGACTCAGAGTGGGGACTCCTGGCAACTAATGTCAACAAGCTTGGGTACCACAAAGAGTGAAAACAAAAACATTATCTTTCGTTGTGTGTTCTAAGAGTGAGCAGGCCTGGGAGTGGTGGTTTAATCAGATTCTGTTGGAAAGATTGTTTCAGTATCCTCAAGGAGATGAGAGTAGCAAGTGTTCTCAACATCTTGGAAGAGAAGTCTGTGAGTCAGTAAACGTGGTATATTAGTCCCAATCGGAGTCTGCTCCTGGTTTGTTTTTAGAAAAAAGTCCTTAGTCAGTTTTCACCTAAAGCCTGTTGTGGATCACAGCATCGGGGAGCACTCCACCTTGCTCTGGGACCAGAACATTCCTTGGCAAGAAAAATCTATTTAAAGATGAACGACCGAGATCGGACTGTGCCTTCCCCTTTGTCGAGATGTTTTCTTATTTGTGACTGTAATAAAACATATATACATGCTCCTATTATTGAGTGATTTTTAAATAATGAACTTGAACTTTTGACAAATATTAAGTAGATTTACTGATTAGTAAAGAAGCCTGAAATTGTAAATGAATTATCATGTGCCCAACCCTCAAGTTTGTTTGTTTGCTTTTTAATAATTTTTTTCTTCTTTTAGAGATGTGGGTCTCACTGTGTTGCCCAGGCTGGTCTTGAATTTCTGGTCTTAAGTGACTCTCCTGCCTCAGCTTCCCAAAGTGTTGGCATGAGCCACTGCATGCAGCCCCACCTCCAAGTTTTCTTCTGGTTTTCTGTATTTTTCTCAAAACACATATTGCAATGTACAAATTTGGAGTTGGTCTAACACTTACAGTGATTTAGAAAATACAATACTGTTCAATGAATCAAAAAAATATACAGCTTTAAATCTAAAATTAATGATATGCTAAGATGTTTATACTATATTGTTAAGTGGAGTAACCAGGTACAGAACATTAGCAAAGTGTGTATATTTGATATGTTTTCTATAATAACTGTGCTACTTACAAAATAGGAAAACTTAGAAATAAATTCATATCTGAGCAAAAGTTCACATAGCAAAATATTTCCTCACTGAATATCAAATACACTGAAACAATTTCAAAATGAGTAGTGTATATATTTGGATTTTAAACTGAAAAGATAACCAAAAGCAAAAGTCTCAGTACCTAGAAAGGAATTTTCAATAAGAGTCTCAGTTTTGAAGAAGCACCTTTATATCAGATAATTTCACAAAAAAATAATTAGAAAAAAATGTTTTGTGATTGAAAGCATTAACAGTTTCAAGATAGTATTTATAGGAAATGTAAGTGAGCTTTTAAAGACAAGTTCTCTGCTAACAACTTACTAACTTGCAAACAAACACATGCAAAAAATACATTAGACTGGTACATTTTCATAAGCAGTTCCTCTTTCCCTTAGGAGGTATATAGATCGTAGATAAAATAAAACACCTTTTATCCTTGACTTGCACAAAGTGATGCTTACACTAGAAACTCCCCTGGCAAGCTTTCTTTCCTGACAATTTAAAAGGCTCTTCATCTAGAGAAATATGCCAACTTTCCTGTCAGACTTTCTGGTCCCAAATGTCCTCCTCCAGACAAAACTAGGCTAAGCTGCACACCTTAAAGGAAGACGGAAGTTGTTGGGGCCCTAGGCTATGGCTCTAGGGCTGAAACTCACATACAGGTCAGTCCTTTCTTTTATACAACTCTGTCTCCATCTGTTCTCATATTCCAGAAGAATGAACAGTCTATTCCACAAGCCTGCAAGGAGATGTCCCTTTGATTCTTGGAGAAAGTCCGAATTTCAACAGTAATACGTTTGGGCTGGGTGCGGTGGTTAATGCTTGTAATCCCAGCACTTGGAGAGGCCAAGGTGGGAGGATTGCTTGAGCCCAGGAGTTCAAGGCCAACCCGGGTGATGTAAAAATAAAAAAAAATTAGCCAGGCATGGTGACATGAGCCTGCTAGTCCCAGCTACTTGGGAAGCTAAGACAGAAAGATTGCCTGAGGCCAGGAGGTCAAGGCTGCAGTGTGCCATGATGACCCCACTGTACTCCAGCCTGGGCAACAGAGTGAGATGCCAACAAAAATTAAGGGAAGAAAGGCGAGAAAGAGAAGAAAAATACATTCAAAATCATTGACATATTATTTCTCATAACCAGACATCTGAAGACTTTAAAAACTCACCAATTTCCAGCGTAATATCTTGATCCACTCATCAGCTTCTACTCCTGTCTTTGCACAGAGATAAAATGTCCTGAATGGAAATACTAAGCTAAAAGAAAAAAAAAAAAAAAGAAAGAACATACGCTACTTCAGATGGCTGGTTGTATGTACATTCGTTGAATACTAGTTAGAATATGCCAAGGGAAAAAGGAGTTGGTAAAGGAGAAGGGTAAGTAACTTGCAGTTGGTATATGTGGAAGTATTCCTGCCAGCAAACTTCAGAAACGATGTGAAGCCATAGATTCATGTTATTATTACAGGTCAGATTTATATACTCTAATGAGACCTCAAAGAATAGTGAAACATGCCCAGGATACCCCCAGGTTTTTTTTTGTTATTCATGTCTTGGGTTGAATACAACAGTTATGTGTTTGATTAAATGATTCAGAACTTATGCTATGATTCAAAGAATAAACAAAACAGATGAGTGAGAGTTCTAAGAAACTCTTGTGTCAATGAGTCTAACTCTGCCTTCTGGGGTTGTAGGCTGTTTAAACTACTTAGAACAGTAAGAAAGACAATACAACTCAGTTATTTTTTTCCATCTCTAGCCAACTGTCAGTCTCTGTTGGAGGGAAGATGAACTTTCCTGCTGGCAAGGAAGACTTTTCCTAGGTTTATAGTAATTCTTCATTTGACCAACTCTGGCCACATAGTCAAAATTATTTGAGCAATTAAGTCAGCCCTAACTTATATCTTGCCTATACTTCCTGTACTTAACAGGTGAGATGCAAAACACAAAAAGTCTTCTTTTTTTTCTTTCTTTCATTAAAAAAGAACGCTTCAGAAGGATTTCTGTACCCTAAAGACTAAGCAGCATATTTGGTTATTCCAACAGTTCATGGTGGATAGGTAAGTCCCTGTGTGTAGAAGGTAAAGCCTTTCTGTGAGGTTCAGTGGGCAATGGTGGGAGTAATATAATGCACACACTATAAAACTCGTTCCTAATATTGCTGTTCTCAGGATTTGCTACTCCCTGTGGGAGACATTATTAATTACCTATTTCCTTCCTTCCTTCCTTCCTTCCTTCCTTCCTTCCTTCCTTCCTTCCTTCCTTCCTTCCTTCCCTCCCTCCCTCCTTCCCTCCCTCCCTCCCTCCTTCCTTCCTTCCTTCCTTTGATATGAGGTCTCATTTTGTCACCCAGATTGGAGTGCAGTGGCACATCATAGTTCACTGCAGCCTTGAACTTCTTGGCTCAAGTGATCCTCCTACTTTGCTTGCTGAGTACCGTGACTATGGTCACATGTCACCACACCCCACTAATTTATTTTTTATTTTGTAAAGACAGCCATGTTGTCCAGGCTGGTTTTAAACTCCTGGCCTCAAGTAATCCTCCTGCCTTGGCCTCCCAAAATGCCATTACTACAGGCATAAGCCACGGTGCCAGACTTATTAATTGCCTATTAATACAGCTAACATTCCCTTCTTGCTAACAGAACTTCAGGCAATAAATCCTAATTAGTTGAAGCCAATTATGATCATCCTATCACTCTTTTCTAGCTTCCCTTGCTGATAGGGATGGCCATGGCACTGACTCTTGGCCAATAAAATATAAAGGAAAATCTGATAGGGGGATTTCCAGGAATCCATTGGCTTTCCTGATATAAAGAGACAGATGTGGCTGGTAATATCTCTACATGTTTCTTTGTATACCATTGAAAATGAGACCTAAAGTTGTACTGTAGTATCTACTTAACTCCTGAAGTCGTCAGCATGAGAAAAAAAGCCAAGAGAATTTCAGAGACAGTGGACCTGACCTTGTCGCAGTAGGTTCCTGGCTCCTAATTTTTTTTGTTATATGGAAGAAAAAAAAAAACACACCTCTGCTAGCACATAGAGTATGAAAATTTTTTAAAGTATTCATTGTTGGCTGGGTGCAGTGGCTCAAGCCTATAATCGCAGCACTTTGGGAGGCTGAGGCAGGAGGATTGCCTGAGCCCAGGGGTTCGAGACCAGCCTGGGCAACTTGGCGGGACATCATCTCTACAATATTCAAAATATAACCAGATGGGCTCAGTGGCTCAGCCTGTAATCCTGCGCCTTTGGGAGGCTGAGGTGAGTGGATTGCCTGAGCCCATGGGTTCGAGACCTGCCTGGGCAGCTTGGTGAGACCTCATCTCTACAATAAATCAAAAATTAGCCGGGCATGGTAGTGCGCGCCTGTAGTTCCAGCTACTTGGAAAGCTGAGGTGGAAGGATCGCCAGAGCCCAGCAGGCAAGGCTGTGGTGGGCGGGAGCGGCCACTGCACTCCAGTCTGGGTGACAGAGTGAGACTCCAACTCAAAAAAAATAAACAAAAAAAACTCAAAAAAACCCCAAAATATAAGCCGGGCGTGGTAGCACGCACCTGTAGTTCCAACTACTTGGAACGCTGAGGCAGAAGGATCACCTGAGCCCAGCAGGTCGAGGCTGCGGTGGCCATGAGTGTTGCCACAGCAATCCAGCCTGGGTGACAGAATGAGACTCCAAGTCAAAAAAAAAAGTATTCATTGTTGTTTGATATTATAGAACTAATGTTAATTTTCCCAAGTATAATGATATTGTCATTCCGTAGGTGATATTTTATTCTTAGGAGATACATATTCAAGTATTTAGGGGTAAAGTGCTATGATGTCTGTGACTTATTTTTGATCATTTCATGCCTATAATCCCAACACTTTGCTTAAGCAAAGACAGAGGGTTGTTTAAGCCCAGGGGTTTGAGGCCAGCCTGGTCAACAAAGCGAGACTTCATCTCTATTAAAAAAAGAAAGAAAGAAAAAAAAAAGGATAAATATGTATAAAGCAAATATGGTGAAATATTAATAACAATGCATCTAGGTAAAGGTTATAGAGATATATATAAATCCTTCAACTTGTGTATGCTTGAAAAACTTTAAAATAAAAATAAAATGAGGCAAGAAATAAGACACTGATTTTTCAAGACAATTTTCCTAGGTAGAAAATTTTCTAATTATGATTATGTTAGAATAAAATACTGTGTCATCTGCTAGAAATTGTCATAATAATACAAGCCGCCTATCATTAGAGTCAACAGTCATAATTAAAATTGGAAAAAACTCAAAGATATAAAGCTATCTAAGCTATCTAAGATGGCATCCTTTCATTAGTGTCATACTTGTGCAGTGCACAACCTAAACTCAGCTGACCTGCGTATTTATTTAGGCCATGTTAAAGGAGGTATTATGTCACATTCAGTAGAAAACACTCTTGATATGTATGCATGTCCCTCACATCGGAACATCTGTAGACATCAAGGCGTGTAGGTTTGTATTCCTTAGTTAAAATAAGTGTCTGGGAAGAAGACTTAAAAACACTTCCTATATAAAACAACTTACCAAAAACAGTTTACCCTTTCCTGTGAATAATCAAATTGTACAGCTGAACATTCTGTTAGGTCTAGGATCCGAATCGGTTCTGGTGACTAAAAAATAAAAATAAAAAGCAACCTATGTCATTACGAAAAAAAAGACACATCTGTCCATCACTTATTCCCCAATAAGTTTTCTATGTGTAATTGTCAATTTTTCCTTTTGCTGAGAAAACTGATACTAGAAAAGCCTTACTAGAAAAGCCTTTCTAAGAGAAATCACACACCCCCCGGTTTTGAGATTAGCTTTCAATGAATGGGCATTAAGAGATTGCCATTATCAACTTATATTTGATGAAGATGGATTTTAACTCATAGAAGGGTATTATATTATTCTCGCCTCTTTAAAATTCTTTTACTCTCTCAGAAATATATAAGGAAAGTGGAAAGTGAAAAAAAATTTAAATTGACTTAATGAGATGACCATGGAAAATGGACACAGTATTTTTAGTAAAGGGGGAAACTGCTGCAGAGAGACAGTTAATGACTTGTGGCAAGAGAACAATTACATGCCCTAAACAGAGGGAATGATGTGCCCTGGAGAACTCTAGGTTACCCAGTCCAAGAGCAATTTCTGGGATATACAACTCATCTTTGCAAAACAAAAAACAAACAAAAAAATAACACTGCTCATATCAGGAATCAAGTACTCACATCTACATTCATTTATGGGGTGTTTCAGGTGGACATAAGGAGAATTGCAGAGATTTTAAAGGCAGGTGTTCCTTTCATCTAGAGAGTTTATTTTTAAAGGGAAAATGTATTATCATGTTTCTCACCATCTGGTCTTTGAAGTATTTCAGTTCATTCCTGTGCAAAGTGAACCATCTTGTTTTCCAGGTCTGAAGATAATAAAAAACACACAGATTTTGAATACAGAAATGAAATATTTGAACTAGATGAGTTACTTTCACTTTAAAAATATCTAAAAGATTAGCTACAATAACCCTGAAAAAATTATTGTGTGTCATTTCTGAGAAAAAAGTTTCAAAATATCTGCAAAATTAAAGTAAATTCATACCTTAAATTTATAATGAAGGCAGATATATAATTAGCATATTTAAAAAAAGAAACAGTTTATCATAAATATTCAAGGTGATTTATAACAGATCCCTAAAATTTTCATTTTATTAACTCTATAATAAAATAAATATTGTTTTTTGAGCACCTAAAATGGACTACATACTATTCTTGAACGCTTGTATGTATTGTAGCCAGTCCTCATACGACAACACCAAATATTATTCTTATCTTACAAATAAGCAAATTGAGGTTTAGGAACCTTGGACCACATGATATTTTAAACCTTGCCTGGAAACTCTATGGCATCAATGGTAAAATTGCCTGCTGTCATCTTCTTATACAAGGAGGAACCCAAAAAACCCCAGGACTTACTTATAAAAAATTGTGTATTTATTCTCACATGTTTAAACGTCAGTCACTGTCAAAGTAATCTCTGTTTGATGCAATACACCTATCAAGATGCTTTTTCCACTGCTCAAAACAGTTTTTGAACTCATCAGTTTGGATGCCTTTTAGTGCTTCTGCCATTTTCTGTTTCACCTCTTTCACACTGGCAAAAAGTTTACCTTTGAGAACTGTTTTTCATATAGAAAAAAAAAAAGTGGCTTAGGATGAGATTGAGAGAATAGGGAGGGTGGGGGCAGGAGCCATGCCATTTTGGTCAAAAACTACTAAACACTCCGCGTGGTGTGGGCAGATGCACTTGTAAATCACCCATCAGGAATTGGGCAAATGAAAGAATTAAAAAAAAAAAAAAATTCACTGAAGCCAAATGCAGACTCTCACAACAACACTAGCTAGTACACTGATGCCAATGTGTTCCTAGAACACTTACCTGGTGGGAAGCCTGTACTATAGGGGACCCGCCTTCCAAAAAATAAGTCTGGGCTTTTTTGGGGTACCCCCTCATATAGTAACAGAACCCTAACCTATCCGAGGTGGCAATGTGCCTAGTTAAGAGATGTAACAGAGGATTTAAAAATAAACATGTTGGCTGAACTCAGTGGCTCAGCCTGTAATCCCAGCACTTTGGGAGACTGAGGCAAGTGAATCACCTGAGCCTGAGGATTTAAGACCAGCTGGGGCAACTTGGCGAGACCTCATCTCTGCAACAAATCAAAAATCAACTGGGCACAGTAGTGCATGCCTGTAGTTCTGGCTACTTGGACGGCTGAGGCAGAAGGATCCTGGAGCCCAGGAGATCAACGCTGGGGCGGCCATGAGCATGCCACTGCACTGCAGCCTGGGTGACTCTGACTCAGAAAATAAAAAAAATAAAAATAAATAAGTTATAATTATTAATACTCTCTCCTTAGGAAGCAATTTAATAGGGACACAAATAACTAAATGTTTAGGTTGATTCCAAGAGAGCTGTTACCTGTGAGAGAAGTTAAATACCTTGACTTTTAAAATAGGAGGGACCAGACATATTCCATGAAGGTCTTCTTGGGACAGTGAAATGAAATAGCAGAATCACATAAATGGGAATAGTTGGATACCATGAACTTGCAAAGTCCTAAGTTGGATTTTCTTCAGATTCTATAACATAGTTTCATTAGCACTAGTGATGTTTTTGACCTACTTTTAGGTAACATTTTATATAATTTTAACTTCTTTTTTAAAAAAAATTTGAAAGAAAGCTTCTAGAGTTAACTTGCTACCTTCATCCTCAATCATTCCATTGAAATGATTGTATGAATATTCACTTTGCCAAAGGGTAATCAACTTGTTTTCCAGAATTTTGACTAACAAGCCTTAAAGTGAACTTTTGAAACAGGTACTACAAGTGGGTCAAAATGAGCAGGTAATTGTGCTTCAGAGAAAAACTGTTAAGATGAGAATTGAGCCTACAAGACATGTCCTCTTTTTTTGGTAGCTGACGTGAGCAAAACCACACTTCCTTACCTTGACCAGGCCTCCTTGCTTGGTGAGGTAACCTTCCTTGGTGCCCAGCTGAAAAAGAAAAGTACCAAGTGAAGCCCAGAACTGACACAACAAAATGTTTGTCTTTCTATTTCTGTACTATTTGAACAAGAAAAACCAGTTTGCCTCAGAGTTTAAAGGACCATCTTTCATTTTTCACCAGCCACTTGAGGAGCTTCCATGTGCTAGGAGAGACTGTTTTCAGATCAGACCTCCGGACATAGTTCTGTAGCAATAGGCAACAACTGAAAGGCCCTCTGTTAACTTCAGTTAACAGTTTGCAAATGATAAGTCGCATCATTTCACTTGCAAAAGTCTGTGTTTGTCAAAGTGTGTCACGTGAAACCCAGCTGTTCGACTGTTTGCAGAGGTACTAGCACACATCATTTTCACACACACCCCTATATAGGTCAGTACAACATAATTCTCCTCCCCCAACTGCATTTCCACCCCCCCCGCCTTTTTTTTTTTTTTTTACACAGACCCTCCCTTGAGACCCATATTCTATTAAACAGACTTTCAGGAGTACAGATTTATATATACCTGATTTAACCAAAAGAGATTTGAAATGAGAATGAGACTTTTTAAAAAACTCACGTATCATTAACTGAAAGATAATACAATATTACACATCTATGAAACAAAAAATAATGGGAAATTCTGTGAATAGCAATTTGCATAAGACAATTACCCTAACATCAAAAAACTTACAATTTCATAGATTTCTGAATAAAACTGAATACCTGATAAGATATTTTGTTGTGATATATTATATGTCTTAGTAAGAAAAAATTAATAAAAACTGGGAAATGATTTGGTTGACGTCAGGTTCTTTTATGGGAGTTTCCAGAGTGTTTTTTCCTGAGGCAAATTCTTTCCACCAAATAAAAAGAGGAACCCCCACTACCACCAGCAGCAGCAGCACTGTAAAAAGAGTTAAAGCAAGAAATAATATACAACAATGTCTTTCAAAATCCTTATGGTGTAAAAGTAAAGATAAATATGTTAAAAGTAAAGATAAATCATGTTAAACAATATTGGTGAATTTAATATCGCATAGCAGTTTGATTTATTTGGATGTTAAAGAAATTGAGCTGACTGAATTGAGTTAAGGTATTACATTATGGAATGCCAAAAATTAATATTTTGGCTGTTACAGGTTAGTGCCCGCAAAGGAAAAATAATTAAGAGCAAATTGTTATATAAAAGGCCCCGATAGAATTCTTCAGTAAAACAAAACTTGAGAATCAATGCTACTCACTCCATCTTACCTTCATCCAAGCCATGTACTATAAGTCTGGTATTTTTCTAAGATTTTGATAGATTTGATAGTGGAATGGGGGAAGGAGCTGAGAATATTAATTTTATTCAGGGTCTTAGGCTGTAAGACATTAAATAATTAGATAGTAGATTTATTTTTTAAAATCTATTATTTGTAACAGGAAAGATTTTTGTCTTTTTTGAGTTATGGTCTAACTCTGTTGGGTAGGTGGGAGTGCAGTGGTACAATCATGGCTCACTGTAGCCTCGACTTCCTGGGCTCAGGTGAGACTCCTGCCTTGGCCTCCCCAGTAGCTGGGACTACAGGTGTGTGCTACCACAGATGGCTAATTTTTTTTTTTAATTTTAATGTTTTGTAGAGATGAGCTCTTGCTATATTGCCTGGGCTGGACTCAGTCAATACTCTTGCCTCGGCCTTCCAGCATGCAGGAATTACAGGCATGAGCCATCATGCCCAGCCAGGAAAAGATATTTATAAGACCCTCAAATTGAATACAACCTAAATGTTTAAAAATAAAGAATTAGCCTTCCTGCCATCCTACCTACCTTCTTGCCCACCTGCCTTAAATGTGGAAGAAAGCCATCTGGTGGGTGAAACATGGTAGATGTTGGTATGTATGTGGAAGACATTCATGCACCTTAGTACAGGGTGATGGAGCCCTAGCAGGGTACAGGGGGCACCTGTGCAGACAATGGTGGTGATGGTAGGACCCAAAGGGGTAGAGGTGGTGACCAGTGCATAGTTTTAGGGTCAAACTGGGCAAAGTAGGCATCTGTGCTGAGGGGGGAGCAGCCACTGCCTGGAACTGAGTGTTGGAGCATGAGCTGAGTGACAAGTGTCAGCATTGGGTGAGAGTAGTAAGAGCAGCAATGGGAGATTGCTTATATTCAGTTGATTGTTCAAATAAGTACTGAGGGTGATGGGATCCACATTCCTTATTGTGGGCAGAAGGGAGCTACAAACATGAAAAGGGAAAAAACTAGAAAGTGGTATTGCATTAGGATTGGAGATATTGGTGTGAAACCAAGGTTAGATGGATGGACAGATAGATGGATAGAGATGTAAAATGGTGATGTCTGGAGTACTATTCAGAAGAAAAAATAAGCAGGGTTTCTTGGAGAAATAGCTGATTCTAAAGTTGTACACAAGAAAAGAACAAGATAAGCCCGGAACATCTTTCTATATCAGAAAGTAAGAAAATTCTTAAAGAATTATGAGGCCATATAGACACAGAAGCCACCTGAAAAGGACGCTGAGTCGCCAAATCTGGGAAAATTTGAAGGATCCAAATAAATAATGATAGTCATTATTATTACCATTTGATATAAAAATAAATGATTGGCCAGCCTTGGTAACATAGCGAGACCTTGTCTCTACAAAAAAAATTGAAAAATTAGCTGGGCATGGTGGCCCGTGCTGTAGTCCCAGCTACCGTGGAGGATGGAGGATCACCTGAGTCCAGAGGGGAGAGGCTGCCATGAGTTGTGATCATCATGATCATGCCACAGCACTCCAGCCCCGGCAACAGAGTGAGACCCCCCAACTCAAAAACAAATACGTAAAAATAAATAAATAAATTGATAACTTCAAAGACAAAAAAGATTTTCCTTATGTAGAATAAGATCCAACAAATGTAAAAAGACTAACAGAATCAGAGTTACCATTTGACAACAATCTTAGCAATGATTAAAACAGCCAAGAAGCCGGGCATGATGACTCACACCTGTAATCCCAGCACTTTGGGAGGCGGAGGTGAGAGGATTACCTGAGCCCAGGGGTTTGAGAACAGCCTGGGCAACTTAGTGAGACATCGTCTCTACAATAAATCAAAAAATGAGCCAGTTGTGGTAGTGCCTACCTGTAGTTCCAGCTACTTAGAAGGCTGGAGGCAGACCTCCAGAAGGTCGAGGCTGTGGTGGCCATGAGCATGCCACTGCACTCCAGCCTGAGTGAAAGAGTTAGACTTAGACTCAAAAAAATAAAAATAAAAAACAACCAAGAAACATCAATGATTGCTAAAATTAGTGGATAAAATTTAATGAAGAACAGTATATTTACTTAGTCTCAAATACTCTCTCCCCAAATATTCATTCATCACCATGGGAATGAAGTGATTTTAGAGTGAAGAAACCTGGCAGATGCCACTTACATAATCAATCAGGCACACCACAGTGGGAGAAATGGCAGTCATTTTTATCGAGGAGGATGCAGTAAGAAACACAAAGCATGATTCTTACGGTATTTCTACTAAAAATGCAAAACCCAAATCTAATCATTATTCAAAGTCAGACAAATCAAAGTTGAGGAATAATTAAAAAAGAACTGGCCTTTAGGTTTCAGAAGTGTCAAAGTCATGAAATTAAGGGAAAACTAGGCCAGGCATGGTAGCTCACACCTGTAATCCCAGCCCTTTGGGAGGCTGAGGTAAGAGTATTGCCTGAGCCTGGGGGTTAGAGATCAGCTGGGGCAATATGAAGAGACCTCTTCTTTACAATGAATTAAAACATTAGCTGGGCATGGTGGTGCTCACCTGTAGTCCCAGCTACTTGGAAGGCTGAGGCAGAAGGATCACTTAAGCCCAGGAGGTCAAGGCTGCAGTAGCTGTGATTGTGTAACTGCACTCCAGCCTGGGTGACAGAGTAAGACTCCGACTCACAAAAAAAAAAAAAAAAGGAAAAACTATGTAGAAGTGAAGAGCATTCCAAAGATAGGACAAATAGATGCAATTTGTGCTTGGGGCAGGATCCTTTTGCTCTAACAGGCCTGACTGGGAAAACTGGTGAAATTTGAATGAGATCTGTGGGTGAGATGGTGACATGGCATCAGGGTTACTTTTCTAATTTGCATGGCTCTATATGGTCATGTAGGCAAATGTCCTTGCTTGTGAGAAATGCACACTGAAGAATTCAGGTGTAGGTAAATTTACTCTCCAGTGGCTCAGGAAAAACAAAGTTTTTTGTGCTATTCTTGAAATTATTCTATAACTGAAATTATTTCAAATTAAAAATAGCATGTATGGAACCAACTGTGCTGCCCATCAAAACTGGACTGGGTAAAAAACATGTGGTACATATACACGATGGAATATTATGCACCATATAAAAGGACAAATTGATGAACTTTGCAGCAACTCAAGTGGATTTAGAGTCTATAATACTCAGTGATCTATCACAGAAACAAAGAACTGAGTATCACATGTTCTCACTCATAAGCATGCCCTGAACATTTACCATAATGCTATAAGAAAGGGATTGGAAGTAGTGGGACACTGCCAGGGGAGGGAGGGGGGCACAAAATATCAGTAAGGGTACCTGATCTCAAACCAGGCAAAGAATTGTACCCCACATCTTTAAAATTAAAAAAATTTTTAATAGCATGTAAACCACAATAGAGGATTAACTAAGTTGATGTATCCAAATAATAAAATAGGATGGAAATTTTTTTTTTTTTTTAGCTGGAGTCTCACTCTGTCATCCATACTGGAGCACAGTGGCAAGTTCGCTACCACTGCAGCCTCAACCTGCTGTGCTCAGGCAATTCTTCTGCCTCAGCCTTCCAAGTAGCTGGAAATAGAGGCATGTGCCACCATGTCCAGCTAATTTTTTAAAAATTTATCATAGAGATGAGATCTCACCAAGTTGCCCAGTCTGGTCTCAAACCCCTGAGCTCAGGCAATCCTCTCACCTCGGCCTCCCAAAATGCTGGGATTACAGTGTGCACCACCGTGCCCAGCCTAGGATGGAAATTT